ACCGACCACACCACTTGCTTGAGGAGGCATGGTTCTGTGTTCTGTGAGTGATCGGCAAAGGTAGTTGATGTTTTCCTTCGTGGAGCGTGTCAAGGGGGTCGGGGCGGTGAGAATAACGTTCTCAGCTGGTGGAGAAACCGAGTTCTAGGTGAGCAGCTAACGTTTTCCTTTGGAGATGTTGAGTTGTTGGTGAGAAGTTGTCAGTTTTGGGGCTGATTCGAGTGGATCCAAGTGCTGGGGTGAGTGTGGAAGCTGGTGTGAGTTGTCTTCATTGTCGCTGATGATGAGGTGCTCTCAAAGCAGCAGCTTTCGACCTGGATTCGCTGGTGTGTTGCGTGTGAGGCAGCGGCAAAGTAGAGTTGAATCGTTGGAGTGTTTGTTGCTGGAGCTAGTGTTGCTAGAGTGAGCTGAGCCTGATTGTTGAGATGCTGGCTTCGGTTTCTTGCTGGGAGTTTCTCCTTCTGATCCTGACTGATCCTTGGAGCTGTCGCTTTGTTCTTCAGAGTTTGTTTGGGTTGTCCCAAAGGGTTTGGGATTTGGATCAGAAATGTCTGTGGTGAGCTCGCTGATGGACATGTACTCCAGATGCAGTGGGCTCTCAAGTTGAGAACAACCGGCACTGAGATATGATGCTATGAAACGCTGTGATATAGGGATATGTGGAGTCTGGGGATGATGAGTCAGCTCTAGAGCTGTTTAGCAGGATGGAGGCTAGCACAAAGGGACTTACATTGCCGTTTCAATGACATGCTTGAGCTTGGGAGCCGAAGAGGAAGCAACAGGTACTATGGAAAGCTTGTCTATATGCCTCGTCACCATCAGGCTTGCAAGTGTGGGTTTTGAGTCGGACAAATTTGTTGGTTGACATGTGCATGACATGTGGGAGCCTAAGCTAATGCTCGAGCAGTCTTTGAGAAGATCTTACATCCGGACATAGTGCTGTGGAACGCACTGATGATGGATTACGTGCAAAACAGAGAGAGCGAGGAGGCTCTATGCCTGTGTTTTCACTTGCAAGGACCAGACCCAAGAAGCTTCGTCACTGCTTTGATGGTCTGCACAAGCTCACAAGCGACCAGTGCCGCAATGAAAGTCCAAGAGTTTGGCTGACATCCGCTGGACAGCATTATTTCAACGAGCTCTAGAGCGATCACTGCGTCACTGGCGTATCCCAGGATAAGTGCCGCCCAGAGTACACCTCATTCTATTGAAAACCAGCTCAGACTTGCACACTCGGCATACATCCCTACCAGACTGGGAGTGAACAGCCATCCCTTGCTCAAGCTGTCTTAGCTTCACAAACTCTTCTCTCACTTCCTGGCCTTCTTCCTTCTCTGCCAATGCTAGAAGCTGGCAAAGAGCTCCATGCAAAGATTTGCAGGCATGGACTGGAAGGCAGGACTTACGTGGCGAGCTCTCTGTGGGTCTTTACAGCAAGTGCGCTTGCCTTGACGATCCTGCGAGTCACTGGCAAGGAGGAAGCTCGTGGTGACTTGGAGCTCGCTCATGGAGAAAGACACGGGGAGTTGTTTGAAAGGATGCTCGACGAAGGCCTGCCAGGTGATCGTCGGAGCCTCATGCTAATCCAGCTCTTGATGTTTTTGTAGTGAGCCTTCACTTCCATACCGGGGTAACCCAAGACGTCTTTTCCCACTTTGAGTGTTCTCAAGGTTTAGGCCAGTGAGAGAGCAGAAACGATCCAGTGCATTCAGTAGGCGTTGTGGCTGTGCATTATCAGGACCAGGAATCCCGAGTTGGCTGCTTGTAAGAGGCACTGTGGCCGAGACATTATTCCCAGTTGAGCGTAGCCAATTGTGAAACTCACTCTCTTGGATTCAGTAGCGTGGCCGCTGTGCAGGTTGATCGTCTCCCTGTGGCTCCAACTGTGTAGCCAATGGGGTGGCAATTGGAGCTTCCAAGCTCTCTAAGAAAGGTCCAAGATGGACATTTGTGATCTACATTACATATTCTTGTTGCAGGTGGTTATGTAGTTTCTTCAAGAGCAAAACCTGGAGGAGAGAGTGAAAGTCAGTAGGATGAAGATCTTGAGAGGTCTGATTGACCGAGGACTCTCTCCTGGAAGACGATGCCGAGGTCCACATCGTGGCAAGAAAACCTGCCACAGTATGTAGTTGGCACGTGATTGGATCTCTGGCTGGCAGCCCACCCCAGACTCTAATCTCGATCAGAGCCCTCTTTGTACAATGGTAGTCACCATTGATAAACGCTCTGTAGAGAGAGCTTGCTATGGATGATGAACACACCAAATAAAAAGAGAGCCCTCAGACTGAGGCCATGCTTTTTCCACACACAACCGAGCGCTCTCTTTCTCGACAAATCCATTCGCAGCAAAGAGACGAGCCCCACAAAGGAAACGACCCAACACTCGTTCTCGAGCTGGAAATCCTCAGGGAGATCAATGCCAAGCTATTCTCTCCCGGGACTGCATCATGCTGGATCAATCGATTGGCGGGAACAATCCGAGAGGCTGCCACTGTCCACAATATGGCGAAGGACTGAAGAGAGGGACCATTGCCGCTCTCAGAGAAGTGGCTGCTTACGTTTTGGATCACCCCGGAGCTCTGACCGGGAAGAACGAACGGTAGACGAGGTCGTTATATCCGACTCGCCAACACTGACAAGAGTCGTCGCCGGACAGCGTGGGATTCACGTATCTCTTCTTGCTGAGTACCTTTGGCTTTGTAGAAGTGAGACGTATTTAGATTTCCTTCACAGGTTGCAGCTTGGGTCGACTGGATCACGGCTGCCTCCAGTGGCTCGACTCCCGGCCAGAAGAATTGCAACAACTCTTGCTCTGAGCTGGCTGTGTGAGGTATTTATGGGCTAAGGGATCATAAGTCAGAGGATCCCAGTCTTGTTGTCAGTCGCCAGGGTCAATGGCCGGTTGTTCCCAGAGCGTTTGTCCCTCGCGGTCAAAGCCCGGTAATCCATGTCAGTCGCCATCAGACATCTGAACTGTTCCCGCTCCAAGGTCCTTGTTCTAATGCGGTTTCTTCAACGCCGAGAAGAAAGGCGCGTTCCAAATGCAACGTCTTCGGGGAAGACACCCGAAACCTCACAGTGCTTTGTTCTGCCATTTCCAAGAGAGATCTTGGCTCCCTTCGCTCACCGCCATCTCCAAACAATCAAGCTCAGAGCGTCGAAGTCCTTGCCATTTGCCATGCAACTCGTTGTTCTCGATAAGAGGAGAAACACTGGAAGAACCCCCAGATCTTCGCCCAAGAACGCCTGGCCTGCCTCGCCATGGCCAGGACGCCCAAATCGTCGCCATTCTGTGCCATCTCTCGCCAGATGCCGGGCCCAGGAGCCCGCGTCATAATGTCTTGCTTCGCCATGCTCGCCAGTCTCGCCGTCCTCGACATGCTGAGAAGGGGAGAAACACTGTGGAAGAACGCCCGCGTCATAAATCCTCGCCATGGAACACCCAAATCCTCCATGCATCTCGCCATTCTCGACAGGCTAGAAGAGAAGAGAGGAGAAACACTGTGAAGAACACCCGCGCAGCTCGCATTTCATTTTAGAGCGCCCAAATCCTCGGGACAAAAACGTACCTGAGAGGGCAACGCCCCACAATATTCTGATGCTGATGCATTTTTTTTTGTTCAATCATCCGTACGGAAAACATGGAAATTTCGCTGACTAATGGGCATTTGGTCTAGTGGTATGATTCTCGCTTAGGGTGCGAGAGGTCCCGAGTTCAATTCTCGGAATGCCCCATTCCTTACGAGAATTGGTAGATCGAGCAGCGCAGTTCTAGGAGGCTGCAAGCATATGTTCAAGGAAAATGCCAAACTGTTTATGTTTGTCACCTGACATCATCATCCAGAATAAAATTCCTCGTGACACATAAAGTTTTAGAATGGAACGTTCTCTCTATAGCCAGATGCCGCGTTTGATTTCTCCAAACCGGCTCATCTTTTCTGAAGCAGAGAAGCTACTGCCTACACAAAAACACTAATAGGCAGGGATGTATTCCAACAAAATACGAAATTCCAAAGGAAGAATATGGTTTCTCCCTATTTGGCGGCACAGTCCAGAAGGCCGCAACAAGAGAAAAAATAAAGCACATTCATACGCTCTCGTGCACGACCAAAGTCAACAGTTACTATTGACTGAGCAGGCCCTTCCACTTTCTCCAGGGTGGAAACGAGTGAGCGATTGCATTTACACGGGCTTGGGGACGTTCCTGCATGTTGCAATCGAGGCCTTTTCTTGGGCACGAAAGAAACTTGGCCGACGAAACATGGAGCGTTCGTGATGGTAGGGCCAAATTCCTATTGGCATTTCCTAGATCTAGTCCAGAACAGCGGCACTTTATTCGAGACTTTGTATCCATCTGCTGAGTACACTCGCCTTTAGCTCGAGTTTGGCGATTCTTCATCGGGATCGCTCATCATCGATGGCACCTTGTACAGTGTGAGCGAGTATCACATCCATGCTCCCGGCGAGCACACTGTGAATGGGAAGCATCTCGCAGTCGAGGGGCATCTCGTCCACAGGAGTGAAGACAACAGGCTTGCAGTCGTCGCCGTCATGTACACGATTGGATCCGAGGACGACCCTTTTATCGATCAGGTAAATAGCAAGCGATTCTTCAGATATGTTGGATCACTGACATCACCACCCTGCACCGAGCAAGTGACATGGAGCGTGTTGAGAAGAGTAAACAAATTATTTCCTTAATCTTTTGTTTCTTTTCCGCTGACCATGGTTCTGATGTTGCAGCCACGAACGATCTCGAAAACCCAGTACCGGCTTTTGATGAATGCCCTCAATGTAAGAATTAATTCACGCGCTAATAAACAACTTCTAACATTCTGTGTACAGGGTGATAACAACAGATCGATACTTGGAAGAAGAATAAGCTATTATAAATAGAAGATTCGTTTTAGTCCTATTAGGGCACGCGGTTTTTTAAGCTAGCAACAGCACTATGTGGAAATTAATATTTCTCTTGCTTGTGGCGCTTCTCCTAGTAGATGCAAACCAGCTCAAAATACATCCATCTGATTCCAGAACCCGAGAATATTACGCTCTATGTGGAATTGCTTAATAGGCTTCCTGGCCCAGTGCGTCCTGTCTACCTGGATCGCGTCCATTCCTTCTACGGAAAAGCAAGCAAGCATCTTGAGGAGTAAGTCTTAAAGTTGATTTTTGTTTTTTAATTCCTTATCGTTTTTTGAAGCGAGGGCAAATGTTCCTGTGATTCTTAAAAGTGAATATGCTGTGCTGTTCTAAGATTTTTCAAGATTAACTACGATTCAACCTATCACTATTGTTTTGCTTGTTCTCCTACAGAAAAAGCTCTTTTGACTCTCTTGTGCTTTCTGAAGACGTCTTATGCCCCAGCTGGGCGCCAGGGTCTTTTGGAGCCCAGCTGGACGTCCTTATTTATTTGATTATCTCATAGGTTAACAATAAATTTGCTATGCTTAAGTTGGACTTCAATGCAACAGGGGTGTAGTGCATTCCGTGGCACCATTCTGTTGTGGATCTCTGCCCTACATTCATCTGGCAATGGCTAGATAGATAGTGCCCGGCGGCTTCAAATCTCCAGGTCAGAGAAACATCCCGGGAAATAGGCCGGCCGTTTGAGATTGAGGACAAAAAGGAGTGATCTCGATTCATATATGAAAACATTACAACGAGTGGTGAGTTGACAGAGAAGAAAGTCTCTTTTCTTTTCCAGATGAGAGCCAAATAGCTGGCCTGGTAATTGTTAATCTATCGAATTTTAATTTTTCCCATCATGAGAAGAGTACTCCGGCAAAGCTCTTGGTCTCAAAGGCCCCAGTCCATCGCCTCTCCTCCGCTCCTGAATGTTAGTGGTGTTGCCCGGTAAATTTAAACCTACTTTGATTCTTTGCCGGCGTCGATAAGGCATCTCAGACTTGCATTGCCAAAATCATCAAAGACAGCACATTGGCAAATAAGGCCGGTCAAATTTGTGACTGAGAAAAAATTTTGTTAACTGGTGCTGGATCCCTCAGAAGCTCAACGTCATGCATTCAAGACAAACGGACACCAGCAAAGCGCCGCATGTACCAGGAGAACTTCCGAGGATTTCAGTAACTTACGAAAATACTGTATACTGGAGTATTTGAAAGTCATGCTTTCGCTGTCAAGTAGAGCTTCCCATCATTTCCGTGGTAGTCATTGATCTATAGAGAGCCAAGGACCAGAGAGTTCTTGGCAATAGCAAATTAAAAAATTTAACTTGAATGCCAAAATTTCTTTTATAGCTTCAAAGATACGTTAAACTTTGGCAAATTTAAACTAACTGTTGTAGTGAAAAATTATAAATCCAAGATTTTAGGTGAGCAAGAATGGGCTAAAACTATTCTATGTATGTTGTTTGAGTATTGTTAATTTTTTTCTATACTTTGCTACATTGATTTTTGTCTCACACAGCTCCATCAATCCTTCTCCCTCTCATTCTATGGAGTAGGTCAAGGGTTTATCAGATTGCATAGTGCTTTAGAGGGGATTTTACTCACTGTATGAAGTAGAGATCTGGCTATAAAAAAGCCCTAGGCCTGTAGTTTCATCCACATGATTATGGCACCAAGCCCAAATAAAAGAGGAAAACATGGTTTAGAAGATTGTGACTCTTGTTCCTAAAGCAAATCCCATTTTAGAAGATTTATTAGAAGCCATGATGAATATATCTTTGTCTACTAAAGGAAACGAGTGAAAAATAAAATGCCTGCTAGAATATATAAAATATTCTCATGATGAACTTAGACTCTAGACAATTTTAAATTTCTTACTTTATAAGAGTTCAAATTCACATTCATCATTTCTGCCATACAAGACTGGGTTAAAAAGCGATTGATATAGCAAGTCTTGTGTGCACTCCTTGCTAGGGTAGTTTAACAAGAACAATATATCCCTCAAGCAAGTCTAAGTTATAAGATATCGATCAAGTTAGTTATTCATTGTATAACACTAAATCCATATTGGCTCACTCAACTTAAATTCAAGGGAGTCACATGCAAAGTGGTGTAATTTTGAGAGCCATTTGCTATTGATTTCTGCAGAAGAAGCAATTTTCAAATTAGGAGGATTATCACTTGCAAACCAATTGATCAAGTGTGCAAGTTCTCATCTATATTGTTGCTAAATTATGGGCACTCAATGAATTGTTCTAGCCAGATGATCATATAGACCTGGAAAACTTGAAGAAGTGCATCTGTGCCAGGCTGGCCAATATACCAAGTAAAATCCTTTTCTGGTGGGGTATTTCCTGTGCCCCCTTTATCATGGAGTGAGCAAAACTTGCCCTTTAACATGTATACCACTTACTTTAGCTTGTCAAACAACACTTGCCACACTACTATAGACATGCATTCTTCCATGGTGTCAACATAGTTATTGTGGTTGTAAGAGTTAGTTGAGATATACAATTGTAAGGTCCTTAAGAATGGTTTCCACTGACTCCTTCTGAACCTGTTTAGAGCCTTGACTTGTCACCCCTCAGAGCATGTTCATGGCGTTCCACACAGCAAATAAGGTGGATTTCAAATCCATTTCAAATACTTTGCCCTGACACAATCTCTTGTCATCTTGCTCAGGCATCTCCCTTGCTGCTATTGCAAGCATGGCTATTGTGCAAGTCCATGATACCTAGACATTGTTCTTGAACACTTGGAAAAGAAACCAACCCATGAACATTGCTTGCACATTGAATCCTTGTTAGAAAGCATTACAAAGGACTATAGAGACTTACAAAGTTTTTATAACACTCCTGCAATCGTGTCATACTAGGCAACATCCTTGGATGTCAATAGGCACCACCTTCTCCCATCACAAACATTCCAATTGACTACAACATAAGTGCAAATGTGAGGCATGAAAACCATGGCACTGCTTAGAACTTGATAAAGAGCTTCACACAATACATTTTTCATTAGGCCTCTGGCATCCATAGCTTGGTCCTCCAAAACAAAACTATTGCCAAGTTCTGTTGTGTACATAATGTTAAGCTTTGATGTCCTTAGGTGCTGTTAAAACTAAAACTAGAAACATGTGAATTCACATCTTAAGGCAATTTGGAACAACATTAATATTAGAGTTATACCATTAACCTTGAATTGTGCAACCATCTTTGTGCCTCTTTGTATAGTCAAAGCATCATATTGCCAATGAGGAAACCTAAGAAATATATATACTGTGTTTCTGCTCTCTCAAACAAGTCCCTTAAACTTTAAATTACATCCTTGTTCCTACATAGGTGCCAAACAAATATATTCAATATGGGAAAGTGTAGCGATGTAGGAATTTTAACTCATCTTCTTTCCCGGTACCAAGATGCAGTCTCCTCCAACATGTCCTCTCGCCCTAGTGAGAACATCCTAAATGCCACCATTACAGAAGAGTCACTTGAAGTCAGCCTTGAGGACCCCTGCAGCAGCTAGGACTAGTTGCCACTCCCATCAGTGTGGCATGGCATGGTCATTTAGCATGTGATGTAAAAAAACCTCACCACCCATCCAGACAAGTTTGGCATAGCTAACAATCATTGAAACTATATCTTCATTTCTGTAGCTTCCAATGCCAAAGCTTCCCAACAAAACCATTGCACCAGAGTCTAGGTCATTTGTGGTTATCAACTCCATCTTTGTAGTTGCATCTAATATAGCTTTGAACTCTTATGTGTGAAATAGACCAAATCATACATCCTCTCTACTTGCAAGTGTATTAGCATTGTTGTATTTGTCACTTATGTTGAGCCATTGTTTCTAGTTGAACAAGAACCTACATGTATTCTTATTAAACTCTATACCATGCAATTTAAGAAGACATTTATGTGGACATGTTGTTGTTGTCTAGTACTTTTGTGACTAATGTTAGTTTATAGAATATAAAATTGAACTTCAATCCATTTGGCATAGTGCATAAAACATGTCATTTGAGTATACTTGTCAGTGAATTCTAGTCATGTGTCTTTGTTGGAGTCTAGCTAAATTGTGTATAGCTAATGTTTGCCATATTTACTGTCAACTAAAACAATATCCTATGGTTCTACAGTTGGAGTGGGAGTTGATAATCCCCTAGTTTATGCAAACATGATTCATAGAAACATTAGCCCAGACAAGATTCAATACTCTCCTAGTGGCATCTTATTATATACACCCCTCCAATTAGGATCAATGAGCCATATACTTCTATTGCATCAGCCTTGAAATTCCAAGGTAAGTGTCTTGAGAATTTTAAGTGGCAAAATTAATTAGACTTCTACTAAAGCTGGAGGAAATTTTCAAATCCCTATGCAAATAACATTTAGTATGATAATGGATAATTTAACTTACCTAAAAAATATCTCTATCCTCAACAGTCTCACTCTCAACACTTGATTCATCAGAAACACCAATGCTTCTCTAAATTGAAAAGCCTACACAAACCAGGTGCATTGGGAAATACCCTAGGCTAGACAGTTTTAGGAAAAAACTAATGATCTACAAACAGGAAATAAACTTTACCTCTTGTCATCGTCTACGGTTGAATCCCGTCTGGGGCAGCATGCATCTGGCCATTCTCGGCAGGCTAGAAGAGAAGAAAGGAGACACTGGATGAACACCCGTGCAGCTCGCATTTCTTTTTAGAGCGCCCAAATCCTCGCCATGAGGGGAGAAAAACGTACCTGAGAGGCGCCCAGCACCCAACGCGCAGGAAGAAAACCCATAAGATTCTGATGCTGATGCTTTATTTATTTTGGGGACCCCGCGTGCCAAAGGCCGTGCCACATTCACAACTCAAAAGGATTTTTTCGCGTTCCACGGATCACGGCTGACTAAAGTGTTAATGGGGTTTAGGAGAGATGGAGAGAATCTCATACTATTGCTATTAGTTTCTGCACAAGCCATGATCATCACACAAGCAGGTATATAGTTTTCAAACGAAATTGATCGATCATATTGTTTTCTTTTCTTCTAGCCGAGGAGTATGACTACTCGAATGGGACTGCAGCTAGGCAAACTGGGGAAACTTGGGAAAAGAATGGAGGGTTTGCAGCAGTGGCAGAATGCAATCTCCGGTGGACATTGTGCTCTTTGAAGCTGCTCCAGACGAGATACAAACCAGCGAATGCCACTCACCAATCTCGACCACGACATAGCAGTATGTATCTCCTGAATCCATATCATCCTTGTAGCGAGTATCACATCCATGTTCACAGCGACACTGTGAATGAGAAGCATCTCGTGGGCATCTTGTCCGTCGCTGTCATGTACACGATTGGATCCGAGTACGACCCTTTTATCGATCAGGTAAACAGAGATCTTTAGTTTTTTTCGTCGTTTTGGTAACTTGAGCTGAGTGGCGAGCAAGATGTTCAAGTGGTGGATCCCTCACTGCTCAATGTTGGAGGCAAGCGATTCTTGAGATATGTTGGATCACTGACATCACCGCCCTGCACCGAGCAAGTGACATGGAGCGTGTTGAGAAGAGTAAACAAAATTATTTCCTTAATCTTTTGTTGACCCTGGTTCTGATTCACGCAGCTTCTTACACAAGGAGAATAAGCTATTATCAATAGAAGATTTTTAGTCCTATTGGGGCACGCGTTTTCCTAACGTAACAGCACTATGTGGAAGTCTATATTTCTCTTGCTTGTGGCGCTTCTCCTAGTAGATGCGCTCAAAATACATCTAGATCATCATCTCAAATTGTTCTTGATTCCAGAGCCTGAGAATATCACGCCCTATGTGGAATTGCTCAATATGCTTCCTGGCCCAGTGCGTCCTGTCTACTTGGGTTGCCACGAGAAATCCATCTATGCTTTGTTGACGGAGAAACAAGCAAGCATCTTCAGGAGTAAGTCTAAAAAGTTCGTGTCTTTTTAATTCCTTACCCTTCCTTTTTTGAAGTGAGAGCAAACTGGTCCTTAAGCGTGAATATGCTGAGCTTTTTTCGTCTACGGTGTTCTAGTATATTCTATAATATACATTTAAATTAATCTTATTTTTATAATTTGCTGTATAGATAACATAGAATATTCTACCATCTAATGGTTGTTATTCAATTTAGTTTATAAACATATTTAAATCTTATATTATTCTATCATTTAATAAAGATTAATCTTGATTTATAAATTATAAACATGTTTATAATTATTAATAAATTTGACTATTTATTAATCCTAAACAAAAATAACATGTTCTTTTGTTGATCATTCAGATTAATCTTATTGTGTATCAACCATAGCTAGCATTTGTGTATGGTTTGATTTCTTGCTGGGGCCACCATTTGTGTGGATGGAATCTGTATATTACTGACTATTTTCTTGTTCTAACAAGTGTTTAGGAAATCTTATAAATTATTTTTTATATAATAATAATAATAATAATAATAATAATAATAATAAGTTTTTATAATATCCCATCATATTCTATATCCACTACTACACAGGTTGGCTTAAGTAAACCAAAATTTTTAAACACCAATATTGGGCTTATGTTATACAATTAAGAAGTTAATCTGTATAGTTAATAATATTGGAAGGTTATAATTAAGACTTGGTAAACTTGTGAATTAGGTTAAACTAGCATTTTATTATAAAAAGCTATATTGGTTTTCCTTGTGAAACCTATTTGAAGTTTGGTCATCATCTCAATTTACTTTATAAGGCTTCTTGGCATTATGCTTCCAATCAACTTCGACAATATATCTTACCTATTAGAAATTTTGAAACATTTTGGCTTCACATACCAAAAATATTGACTTACTTCTTGAAGATATTTGGTTGGTCTTTCAACCATATAATATTATTCACAAAGTTGTTAATTTGATAAATTAAACTTGCATTTTAAATTTTTCAAAACCATTTCTTACTAGGGCTAGGGTTTAAGGCAAGACAAACTTGCAATTACACATGCAATATATAATGTTAGGAAATAACATTGAAATCTACAGAAATAGTAGGGATTGTAAAGTTGCTTCTTGGATTTGGTCTGAAATGTTCTTAAAGGTTACTTAACTCAATACTCAAACTTAAACTCGGTCTCAAGTGTTTTAGAGGTTATTTAACCCAATAGTATGCAAAATTAATGATATTTAACTCCAAATATCCCAAAACATTTAACTGATTGGAAAAAAAAGGACATTCTTATTCTTGGGCTATTATCCTTTATAGTTGACCTCTATTTATATTTGGTCTTGAATTCAATCTTTGTCTATATTTTGAACTTGGTTTTGAATTCGGTCTCAGATATATTAAGTCCTAGATACATCCAGCCCTAGATATATCTAATCAAACCTTTTTATTATTTGGATCTTAATTTTATAGTTAACAACATCTTAGGGAATTTGTTTTTTATAATCATCTTGTATGTGTATAACTTTATTTGGTGCTAAACTCATAACACTCCTTTTTGTGTGTTTGTAATTTTTTATTTGTTTGAGCTGGTGACATTTTTTTTATGACTAACTGCCAATAATGAATATGTCATTATTGCTTCTGGTCTCATAACTTCTTAGGTGGAAGTTTGTGCTCTTATTAATGCATTTACAATTGCTATTAGATACTTCCTCTCTAATTAAGTAATGTTTTAGCATTCTTGTTTGAAATGAATTCTTTTAGATAATAGTTTTGCATTTATGGTTAAGGTAATTTACATCTTAATGTCTTGGCTGTTGATATACCACATTTTCATGAGTGTTTAGTATCCATAAATAGATAGTTTGGTAGAATTGCTCATTTAAACCTTCAAGGGGATAATTGCAAAGTATATAACTTTTAATATTTAGATTGGGATGATTATTTATTATCTCTCTAGTACACATATGTTATGGGGTGTAAAGTTCTATTAATGCTTCACTATATAAACTCATATATAGTTATGCATATATTGCTAATCAATTTGAGTTTGTTTTTATGATTGCCAATGATGCTAAATCTTGAAATTAATATTTAATGAGTATTTTTCTACTGGTTCAAGTAGAGTCTGTTAAATACTTAAGTCACATACAAGTGGGATAATAATAATACTACAACTCTCATATCATCCATCAATATGAATGATTTGGTGTTGGTTTATTTGTCCTAATCTTATAATAAGTGGTTTGTTTAAAGGGCTCTATACCTAATGGAAAGGACTATATTGAGTGTTGCAGCAAGTTAGATTACAAGTTTATAAGATATGACATAATATTTAACAAATAAATCCTCTAGAAATTATATATGTATAAAAGGATTAAAAAGAAATTACACCACCTACAAATTCAATAGTGTGTCCTCCTGATGTTCTTCCAAATCTCAACTTATCGATAGGAGAATCTTATTTCCCTTCCATCATTTAAATAGGAGGTGATGATATAACAATGCCATATAAAATTATTAATATAGTTTTTTATAGTTGTCAAATTGATTTTAATCTGGACCACTCATTCATATATATAATCTGAGGTTATTAAGCTTATTAAATATGTACATTTCTATATTCTATACACTTAAAACACTTCCTTATTATGAATTAGTGAAGTATCAATTTGCTCCATCCTCATAGAACATAATTTTGTATGGCATTATGAAACTAAACCAAGTTAGGCAGTAATTATTATAATGCCACATGGATACTAAAGAACCCTAAAGTTGTAATTGTCAAATATATATAATGAAATTTCATGTTTGGTTAATTCCTATAAAATTCCCTAGGTGAAGTAATGTAGTAGTTCTGTAGTATAAAGTTATAATACTGAACGATATAATGTGGTTTGCCCATTTTGCACAAATTAAATTGTTTTCTAAGAGTTTTCTTTCCATTGAATCTAAGACTTTTTGAATTTCTTCCATATTAAGCTTGTGCAGCATTTTGAAGCCAGAGGAAATTGTAGATGAACACTGTGATGCACTATGTAAAAGTTGATAAAATCAAGTCGTGAATGGTGCATGTAGAACTGAGAGAATATTCCAACTTTAGCCATGTCATGATAGGAGAGAAGTAAAAAGGGATTATATATAAAGAATAAAGATGTTTGTCTTGAAGATTACCAAGAGGGAGCACACTCGGGTGCTGAGGCACATCAACAAGAGAACGAAAAGCAAAAAATCAGCCCAAGAACCAGAAACCCCGGCAGCCCTGCTGCTGTGTAAGTCAGCAGCACAGAGTGTCTGGTTCTTAGGCTGGTTTTTGGCTTCTCATCAACAGCATAGCTTCTTCTTGATGTGCCTCAGCACCATCATAGCCCAGGTCCACTCCCTCTTGGTAATCTTCAGGACAGACATACATTACATACAATCCCACTGGTGACATGACTAAAGTTGGAATCTACATCACCCCCCACCTATTGGGCTCCGTCCCAGAGCACATAACTCCATGGCAGCTTCATCTCACTCATGGTACTTGCGCAAGCGAGCACCAGTTGGTAAGAAGTTCCCACTGAAATCTTCAAGCTGGACTGAGCCGTTAGAAAAAACTTCAACAATGCAATATGGCCCAAGCCAGTGAACACGTAGTTTCCCATGCTTTTTTCAGTGCTTGCTATCATACAGCAGAACCACCAGCAGAAAAATGTTTAGCACGCAAATGACGATCATACCATTGCGGCATGCTTCGCGAGCTTGGAAAGCGAGAAGTCGACGCTCGTCGAGCTGTAGAAGCATGTCCAGTCGAGCTTGAAGAGTGTTGTCCCAGTCCAAGTTGTGCTCGACAGCCATACGGAGAGAGGGAATCTCGAGCTCAAGCGGCAGGATGGCTTCTTGTCCATAAACAAGATGGAACGGTGAAGCTTTGGTGGTGACCTTGTAAGCAACGTGGTACGCCCAGAGTGCATCGAGCAAACGGTGATCCCAATCTGTGCGAGAAGCACTTGCGAGCTTCATGATGATGTCACACATATCTTGTTGGTGCGCACCAAGCACGAGGGTGGTAGCGATGAGCGATGCCATACTTCTCCACCAAGGTCTCGATCACTTGATTGATGAAGTGAGTATCTCGGTCACTCACCAGCTCCAAAGGGCAGCCAAATCTCATGATGATGTTCTTGTAAAGAAAAGTCGCAACCTTGGCTGTGTCTTCCGTGAGAGCTTCAGCCTCGGCCCACTTTGTGACGTAGTCACTTCTCAAAAGGAAGCACCAGAAGCAGAGGATTAAGCGGCATCAGATCGCGGTGAGTTGGGCGACCAGCACCCTGGCAGGGATCACAGGTCTGAACGTAGGTAGCAACATCCTTGTGAAGCGTTGGCCACCAATAGCCAGCTTGAAGAACCAAACGAATTGTTGCCTCAGATGAAAAGTGGCCTTAAGGTGAATTATGGCATGAAGTGATGACAGTGTGAGGAAGGATACAGCGGCGTAGAACGTCGTCACGGCCGAGGATGTAGAGCTGGCCATGCAGGAGAGAGTATGGACGAGCCTGGATAATAAGTCGCTTGCGTTCGGTGGCAGTAAAGTCAGCAGGGAACTCGCCGGTAGCCAGATAATCTGCAATGCCTTGATACCATTCAGGAACAGCGTCGGCCGCAAAGCGATCGTGGTGTCGCAAGAAAACAGAGCAGCACCAGCTGGGTCATCCTCAAGATCCTGGAAGGAGGGAGGGCATGGCAATCGTGAAAGATCGGCCATGGCATGACCCTGCAACCGCGCCCGAAACTAACTCGAAAATTCTGCAACTGCAATTCTTGTCTCGAAAATTCGACTTAGCATAAGTAGTTTTGCTAAAAAATGGCCCGAGTGTGAGGGTGTTCGAGACTCTCGAGTGTACAAATTCGCAGCTACTTACGATCACGCAGAGTATTATCACTTGCATCAGCGGGCCTGGAGATATGCCCGCGGAGTGCTCAAAGCCACTTCTTGTCGCTTCTCACATGAGTATTCTTGTGGCCGAACCTCTAGAAGTTGCTCTAGAGCTGTTCCTGAAGGGCTGCTACAATGGCTATGTGGATGCTGGGCATAGGGGGGAATTCATAGTGAAGCTCGTCCTCCTGCAGCTTGTTGGAGCTTGTACAAGGGTGACTACTACCTATGCCGCATTCCTCCCCGGTATTATCTCTGACGATTGCTGGGCTGGGGGAGGCACAGGTTGACGAGGCATGCAGCGGTCTGGATGAATCCGCTGCGGTCTCTATTAACAGTTTAAATTCTAGTTAAGCAGGGGGAGTTGAGCAGCTGCGTTGTAATCATGTACAAAGCCAACAATAACGTGCAAGTCATAGCAATCCAAATCAAAGTGGTGACAGTCCTCATCAGTGTCCAAGAACCAAAGAGCTAGTGCCAACAAAGGAAGGATGAGCTGCATAAGTCTTACTGGCAGGATGACGAAGCTTTGGCAAGAAGACAGTGCACAATAAACAATTTATGGTTTTGAACCCAACTTTTGTTTCCTTGGTGCTAAGACAAAGAAACTTCTAGTTTAATTTTCAATTGCAATGCCAGATACATAGGTGGAGGCTGGAAAGCAATTAGGTGAAGCCAAATCATAGCTCATCATGACATGACATCACCAGAGTGTAAACACACTTTAATTTGCTCATAATAATGCTCATTAATAAGCTAATATATGGTTATGAGCTTCTTAAGTATTCCATGAGTTTGAATTTACCTTTGGTTTGGATGCTTTATATTTTTTATTTCTTGGAGGATATACAAGATAAATTTGAGTTGACAAAGTTAAACATGAAACAAACTCAAGAACAAGATAAAAGATTAGCTAATGAACATTATCATCATCAAAAGTACAAAGTTGGTGATAAAGTTTTCCTTAAGTTGTTATATGCAAAATGGTCTTTAAAAAGAGGTGGTGGCGCTACATTGTCTTCACAATGTTATGGGCCTTAGACAATTTCATAGTGTGGGGGATTTTGTTTGCATTTTGGACTTGCCAATTAATTAAAAAATTCATCTAATGTTCCATATAAACAAGTTTAAAACATATTTACATTCTGGTGATGTTGTGGATCAATCCCATCGTCTAAATCTTAAAGATTGATGTTAAGAAGGCTAATTCAGCCAATATTCTTACTTATTCTTCTATACTTTTAATTCTATACTTCCATACTTCTTATTCTTGTTGCTGCTGCCAGGTCTAGTGCTGCTCAGCACTCCTGGCTTTCATGGCAAAATACCTGGTAGGGGGTCCATATTATTTTAGTCAAATCAGCTTGCACCTGAATTAGTCCTGCAAAGGTGGCAAAACAGACCACCACAAGAATTGATCGTGGCAAGCAGTCCTAGTCCTGCGAAGGTGGCTGCGGTTTTTCGCCATGAAAGGAGTATCACCACCATTTTTTTTTATATGCTCAAACAGCATGTTTAACGCAATGCAGCAAATTCTACATAACCTCTGCTTCAGGAGTTTGCTGTGCAGATCCCATCATGGATAGTCAATTTATATGGTTTGGGCCAAATATATTCCTTGGGCTGATTAACAATGGTTATGTTCCAATTAATCGATAGACGTCAGTGGAGAAGTGGAAGGAATGATCGATCAAATCTCGATCCACAATGGCGCTGGTAGCACCGAGTCCGGCGACTCGGGTTCTTTAGGATCCAGCTTGTGATCGTGAAGCCTCGATGATGGATGGATTGGAATTTTGATGGATGCCAATCCACCCACGCGAACAGCCACGAAGAAGCTCGCGTACATGTTTACTCTGTCCATGTAAGCCTTGCTCGTTGCTACTTGGATCACTGCGCAGAAACAGTTGGTTTTTAGCTTCCAAAAACAGTTCCAAAAAGGAAAGAACTTCGAACCTTTGAATCCAGATTTCTCGATGCAATTGGCGTAGCTTGGAGATCACGACGCACTGCGCCAGATCACGCGGCCCAGGCTAAAAACCAACTGGAAATCACAAGTGTGAGGTGATCGAGGGTGTGGAAATTCGCAACTACTTACAATTACATGTGCTTGCAGCGCTTTGCAAAGGACATCGACGTCGCTTTGTTCTAGCCAGTCGACGTGGTCCATCAAAATCACCTGAGCACCAAGCAATACACAGCATTTCACCAAACAAGAAGTTCCAGGTACGTACCTTGGTGTACATTCGCTTCGAAAGCTCCTCCACAAATGTGGCTGTCTGGATCAACAGGCACTCCTCCGCAGCAAGCCTTGTCTGCAACACAGCACAAAAGTCTTGAAATTCATGGCAAGTCGTTCGTGTGTAGTACCTTGAGTTTGTGGAAGTTTTCCTTTTCCAGGAAACGAGGACAGCAGTTGGATGAAAACTTCCCAGTCAGGCAGCAGCGGTAAAAGTAGTTTCTGTCCCGGAGATGTGAATACGCAGCTGTTGAATTTAGACAGCGGACAATGTAGCTGTGAAAACAAAGGACAAGTGGTTCAATGAGAATCACGCCTGAGAAAGATGTCTTACTTGTATAAGTTGCCCTCCTTGCGTAGCAGACGAAGCTGGCCTTTGCACACTCCAGCACAAAACCACATCGTGAATCTGTTGGTTACGAAGAAAGATACCATCTTCGCAAAAATCCCAGCTTGTGATAGCCAGTTTCCTACACAAGCGAACCTGCTCAGGCAATCAAAGTGAGACAGTTACTTTTGGTGCATGCGGATGCATTATACCAGAGCTCTCTTTGTTGTTGTAGTGTGGGCGCATTAACAAGAGACTCGATGAAGCGCTCCTGTGAAGAAAAACAACAGATTCAGATAACCTTGCTCAAAATTTTGGTTCCATGTTACCGTGGTAGTACAATCCATCCTTGAAGTACCTGGCTTTTTTTCTCCTGGAATAAATAAACACAGCTCTTCACACGGAGATATAAGAAAATTTGCTACTTACCAGAAATTCACAGCCCCCTAGCACTTAGAATAAATTGTTGGATAAATAAGAATCAATCTTTACTACAGTCTAGCAAGCAGCAAGAATTTAAATATGACTTCTATGCTACTAGTATTGAAAGTTTTGCTTTGCTAATCCTCACAATGCTTGTCCTATTACAAGAAGAACAGCAAACTCATAGGGGAAAAAATCCAAGGATGAAGAAATGTCATGCAAAATCAGAAAACATTCTTCTGCCATTGCCGCATGTTGACCTGATGTTTTTGTTATTGTACATACTTGCTACATTAGAAGCTTCAGAATCCTTAAATGGCGCTTGCAGTGATTCCCATTACTCGAGATCCAGATGCCAAGCAAAACACAAGATGTAGAAAATAATTTCCAGCCACTTAGAAGTATATACTTCACTGCTTTGGCAATTGCAGAAGTGGTACAATTCACAACTTATGCCAGTGCCGGAGGCTGCGAGCAATGCAAAATGCTGAAACAGCACAGCAACAATAGTCTACTTCGAGCAGTACATATTGTGACCTTTTACCAAAATGTAACTCCTCTTTCTTTCTTCTTACTCTTTTGGTTGGGCTTCAACTTTACATGGCGTTTCATGTTGTGCACTGCCAAGGTGGAGTAGACTACAGCTTCGAGTGCATTGGAAGCGCTGCGTTGATCTCTGATTACAGCTTCGGTGACTTCTGGATCATCAGCATTCATGATCTGGGATGAGCAAAAAAAAGAATGGCGATCCGTCGAAACAAAAAAACGAAAATAAAACTTACGTGATCCACTAGCTCCTTGATCTTCTTCTTGTGAGGATCTAGCGCAGTGGTTTCGGACTCAGAGGAAAGCTGATACTAGATGTGACGAAAATTTTAATGATGAAACGAGTAAATTGAAATTACTATATTTTGACAGACCCCATAAGATTGGGTGGTGGGAAAAAGGTGTGTGAGGGTAAGTTCTAGGGTTTAATGGAGAGCGTCTGCGATGACGGCGAGGAGCGCTTGCGGGATCTTTGTGGACCTGACTATGAGCGCCTTCAGCGGCAAGGCTATTCGGCCTCCAGGTTGTGGACGGCCGATGTAGATGAGGTTTTGCCCTTGTTTCCAGGAAATCCTCGTCTCGCATTCCAGATATATAGGCTGTTCAACTGTAAGTTCTTTCGCTGTTTCTTTAGGCTACTGTTCTTTTTGCATTTCCTGTGCAGTAAAGGATCGCTCCGACACGATAAGCGACCTAGTGGCAAAGAAAGAAACACGAGACCCCAAGCTGCTACAGTGGATAAAGGAGAGGTTGGAGTGTGTTTCGTACGAGTGGCTGCGTCAATGTGAAAGGCTCCTCATGGAGAAGCCGATAGGTGAAAGTTCTGTGTTTTTGTCTGCTGCTCGAGTATTCTTTTGCTTGTGCCTGTGCAGAGAACACTGGGCCTGATCGTGATCGTTTGTGGCACGAGAGTAATATGAAAGTGGCGATGAAATCGTTACGGAGGGATTACATTGGGGGGGCTCATAAGATATTGTACAAGGAGCTGTGTAAGTTGAGGAAGGAATGCTCAAAGAGTAAGTCTTGAATTCTTCTGTTATTGTGGCTTATAGCACTGGCTATTGTGTAGACGAGCACTACAGCTGCTATACCTCCATAGTACAGGGTTCTGGCACGGGGAAAACACGCGGGGTGATGCAGATGTCGCGCCTGGGAGTGTATATTTGCTATTGCAGCACGGCAGCAGCAAACAGTAGCGCCTGTCCTCCTCGAACTGGGGAGCTTGCCAACCAGCTCAGCCGAACGAACAGCGAGTTGGAGATGGCGCTATACTTCAAAGCGTGGCTTTTTGTCCTCCATGAGATGGCGAAGGGTGCGAAGATGAGCTCAGTGCAGTGGATGGATTCACAGATGGATTCGTCCAGTATTGCGGAGGCCGTGCACAAGAAATGGCTTGAATTGATCAACAGCACAGCTGTAGAGAAAATTAGTGAGTCACCGGATGACAGGAACGAGAAACTACTCCAACGAGAGTTTGAAAACTTGAAGGATGTACTGCCGGACGAGGGGGAGGTGCAGGTGCTTTTTGTTTTTGATGAAGGTCGCGGTCTCTTACCGAATGGGGAAAGCACCTTCGGTATGGCACAATCGCCGTTTGACCAGATGAGGCGAGTGGCGAGAGCTTTCTTCACACACAAGAAATACTTTGCAGTTGTCATGGATACGATGTGGAGTATCAGTAATCTGCAGCCTCGACGGCACGAGGACCAGTCGAGGAAAGCTAATATCCTGGGTTTGCGGCTTTTAAGGCCTATTTATCAGGTGGTGAATATGGACCTTGTTCCTCGGACTACGGATTTGTCTCCAGCTCAGTTGTTCAGGTATGGAAGGCCCCTATGGAGTAGCCGCCTTGACAGCAATCCAAATGTGTGGAGCCTCCTCGATCTCGCGGAAGCCAAGCTGGTTGGGGTGCTGCACGGGGACTTTCAGGGGCAAGCTGTGGACGTTTGTGGTTCTACCGGAAAGGTACAGATGGCTGAGAGCCAGGCGTTGGCCTTGCTTTCAGCATCAGCGGGCCTGGAGATATGCCCGCGGAGTGCGCAAAGCCAGCTTCTTGTCGCTTCTCACATGAGTATCCTTACGTTCATCTCCCTCGATCGTACGAGAGTGCATATCAGTCAGCCCGTGGAGCCCGTTGTGAGTGAAGCGGCCGCTAGGATTCTCAACCGCAAGAGTGGCGAGCCTCTAGAAGTTGCTCTAGGGCTGTTCCTGAACGGCTGCTACAATGGCTATGTGGATGCTGGACCTCGGGGGGAATTCATAGTGAAGCTCATCTTGCTGCAAGCTTGTTGGAGCTTGTACAAGGGTGACTACTACCTACGCCGCATTCCTCTCCGGGATTATATCGGACGATTGCTGGGCTGGGAGGAGGCACAGGTTGACGAGGCATGCAGCGGCCTGGATGAATCCGCTGCCGTCTTTTTTAACAGTTTTATGCTGGTTAAGCAGGGGCAGTTGACACCCGAGATCTTGGCAGCTGCGTTCATGAGAGGCTGTGCAATCATGTACAAAGCCAACAATAAAGTCCGAGGTTATGACATTGTTATTCCGGTCTGGACTTCCAGGGGGATGACTGCGCTGCTCGTTTCGGTCAAAAACAGTAAAAAGTGTGGGTGGCTCAACAAAGCTTCTACGACTGCGTTGAGGCCGAGGCTCATGCAAGTCTCAGGAATCGAAATCAAAGTGGTGACGGTCCTCATCAATGTCCAAGAACCAAAACATAAAGAGCCAGTGCCAACAAAGTTATGGAAGGAGAATGAGCTGCATAAGTCTTACTCGCAGGATGACGACGCTTATGGACAGGAGACGGAGCCTGTTGCGCACATAACAGTTTATGGTCTCGAACGCAACTTTCGTTTCCTTGGTGCTGAGGCGAAGAGACTTCTAGCTGAACTTTCAATTGCGGTGCGGGATACGGAGGTGGAGGCTGGAAAGCAATCAGAGGAAGCGAAATCATGGCTCCATTTGCTGCTTCCTGACACGTATAAGCTTCCAATTCCAAACGTCTCTGACATTAAGGAGCTTGGTAAGACACATTCGTGATACGCTATTCCCATGATATCATGATGCGACATTTCAAGTTTACAGGTGATCCGCGACAGAAGCGCCCAATAGATGCCACAGAAAAGTTTGCGGACGATTTGCAACAGAAACGCCCAAAAGTTGCCTGAGAAAAGCAGAATACTAAGCATGTAGTAGTGCTATGATTCCTTTAAGTAGTATTTAAGCTTCCACTTTGAATTTGTGAAATTTTACTAGTGTTTCAGTCTGTCAAGATGAGTTTGGCTTGCTTCTCTTGAGGGTTATGTTGTAATGGTTTTGGATTATTGTGAATATTAAAAACTTTTATTTTATTTTAGAAAATCAATTTAGCTTTTTGGCTATGTAAATCACAGATGAGAAGCAACACAGAGGAGGCTATGGCCATGGTTGTGAGGCCTTACTATGAATTGTGAGATTTGTATCTAGGGTTTGACTAACTCCTCCAGTTAAAATATCTTAAAAAGCCCTTTAGATCCATATTATAATATAAAATAGTCAATTACTCTATATCTTACATAAAAATTCTATAAATTTCAATGATTAGTTATTGTGTGTATTTTACTATTTCAGTCCATATACTTTTATAGTGTATATAATCATAGAATTAGATTTAGATATACTACCATACATCCTTGGGATATTATTGAATATATATGGATAAAATATTCACTAAGGGCCCCCTTATTAAGCAATTGATTTTTTTCCAATTAGCTTAAGGGAGAGAGATAAAGTGTATTACATATAGTATCAGAGGAAATAGCACAATTTCAATTCCCATTAATTAATGGCTACTTAAAATATAATATACATTTGAATAAGATATATACCATAGGACTGTAGTACAAGTGGATAAGTAATTGCTTCAAATGATTTACACAATAGAAGGATTAGTATATTTAGTGTAGAAATATTTTTAAGGTTTATCTCATGAACCAATTGCTAAAGATTAAGCATGAGACTTTATCTTTAAATGCATATACCTATTTATAAGTTCTATGATCTTTACCTTTGTATTATAAGTATATTATAAGCAACAAAAAGGAACAATCAATAAGGGTTTAAATATAGAATGAAATGGCTTATGAAAAAGTGTACCCCTTTCTCAATTGGTTAAGAGTTTTAAAATATTTAAGGTTAAGTGTTTTTTAGTTTGAATAGTACTAGGTTGGGTGACCTCACGGGAATTTTAAATTTAAAAATTTATTAGTATTAAATTGGCTTAAATTCTAACTTTATTAGTTAGCTAAGGGAATCATATCACATATTAAAATTGATATCTAGCAAGTTCAGTTTGCCTCCAATTGGGTTCAACTTGAAGGATAGAGTGTCAATAAAGTGGGGCTTTTAGGAAAGTTATAGCTCTCAGCTTTTGGTTACGGGGGGATGAACTTATATGGAAGCATAATGGATTATAAGCAACTAAAAAGAACAATTTAAAAGATAATTTATAGGGAAATAACCCATAAAAAAGAGTGCACCCCTTTTTCAATCAGTTAAGGGTTTTGAGATATTTGGGATTTAAATAGTATTAGGTTGGGTAACCTGAAATGAATTACTAAAAGTATAATGTTTCATCAAAGGTTTAAACTCAATGGAAATGAGCAGTTCAAGGAGGATTTGAGGCTAGAAGAATGGAGATAGTAATAAGGTCAAGAAGCTTTGTTTGTACCAACATGAAAAAGATAAAGTGAAGGATAATTGTTTTCATTACTACAAAGCTAAACATTAACATAATGATTCTCTTTTTGTGAAGAGTTTAGAGAATGCTAAAATGAATATGGTGGAATCCATTATATATACACATCCACATCCCATGGTAAAAGTTCAAGAATTGAAGTCTTGAGTTCATAGTAATTCTATAGAACTCAATAATTCTATATACAATCAACTTATGAAGGCCAAGGGCCATTCAAGCTAGTGATGTTAAGATTGTTTTCAATCTAAATATTACACACAAGTTTTTGAGCTTTAATGTGGTAAAAAGTTTAGTTTATCAATGAAAAAGAGCTTGGTAATCTATGTTATAGTTGATAGATGTAACACTCATGTTTACAATAAATGAGCTTTGAGTGTTCTTTGATGATTTAGAGGATTCTCGGCCATCTTTTATTCTAGGTATGGGTGGTTCTAAATATATAGTAGAGATAATGGTTAGAAGTATAGTTAACCACTTGACATATTAGGTTAGCTCTTATTGAGTTGTGTGGCTTTTTGTTAAGTGTCAAGCTTGGGTTTAAGCCCAAGCTCTATATTGTTCTAGTTAATGGGGTACTAGTATGTTGAAATTTTGCTAAAATCAATCTAATATTATTTTGTATGCAAGAGTTGAATACAAGGAGTTAGTGATCATAAAGGATTTTGAGTGTGTACTAGACTTTTGTTTTACAGTGCAACTTGCTTGAAGTTCAACTCCAAATTCAGATGCACTACAAATTGATATTGCAAATGGGAAGGCTTACAAACATATTCCCAAGTAATACTTTCTTTAACATCAGACTTTTGATAAATTTTTCATCCTTGCAAACATATGTATATATATTTTGTTATATGTTTTTTAGGATGGATCCAAATGTTAAAGTTTGAATTTGTCACCCTGTAATATTTAAATATAAGATATTTATGACTGAGAAATAATTTGATATTAGTATTATATTTTATTTTATTATAGTTATAATTAAACTTTTATTTATAAATTAAACCTTAAATAACATAAGGCATTTCTCATAATTACACTCTAAGGAGTTTTATAGTAATAATGAGTAGGAAATTCTACTTAAATAATTAGTAGAAATACTAATCATTAAATAGTAAAGTAATATTTTCTTCTATAAACTAGGTACTAACATAAAACCTCTATTAAATAGCAACTATTGATACTAAAATAGATAATGGTAGTTTACACAGACCTAAATATTATTAAAATTATATTTTTCCTTAAAATACCTAAACCTTAATAATATATTCTTTAGTATTTAAGAATATTTTTATGAATAGCAATGATTTCCTATTGACCTTGCTCCATGTATTTGCAGATCCAAATAATAGAGGATTATATATTAGTCTGTGAATTTTAAAAATCTTTTGGCTATACAGATGATATGGAACACAAACTGCTACTCAACCATGAAGCTCTCCTTGTCTCACCAAGATCCCTAACACCACCTTGTACATATAAATTTGAAATAGAAAGAGATTGACACACTGTGCCAGATCATGCAGCCTCTAGGCTGGAAAAATAAGTACAAATTGCAAGTGTGATGGTGTTCAAGAGTGTACAAATTTGCAGCTGCTTATAGTGCTTGCAGCATGTTACAAACGACATCAACATTGTGTTGTTCTAGCTAGTCAATGTGGTCCATCGGATCTTGATATTATTTAGGATCCTTGAGCGATGGTGCTGTAGATTTCTGTGCTGGGAGAGCATGGCAAGGTTTTGCCATTGTGGCATGCTGTACTGAGCACCAGGGTTCCTTAGTATATATTGGCGACAGCAAATGATTCTTGGTCCTCTAGCATCAATTTCCTTACAAGACTGCATTGAGCTCAACACTACAGCTTGTTACAGGACCAAGGACAAGAGTCTACAAGTGTGAAGTGATTGGAGGCCATCTAGGGATATAAGTTGGCTCCATCAATAAGGCTTTGCTGAGATGGCTGTGTAGACTGCTTTTGCAAGTAGGTGAGTTCATAAAGAAAGAAAGAAGCCTTCTAAGTTCTCACTTCATTTCACTGTACTTTACTTAAGTGTGAAATTGAGGTGTTAATGGAAGTGGTATTGTTAAGATTTTTCCCTAGAACTTGATTTTTCATGTCATTAGACATGTTAATGACATTTGGTCTTAAAAATGGTTGAAGAAGAGTGTTAATGAGATTTAAATATCCAAAGATATGCTTTGTGATTAGGTTTTATGTATTTATTAGCATTTGCAAATATCAGTAGACATGCATTCTATTGGGCCATTGGGATTCTATTGGGTCATTAGAATTATATTGAGGTGAAATGAGAAATTGTAAACAGGAGGAAGTTAATTGAGTCTTAAGAATTTGTATTGAAAGAAAGACTAAGAGTCTTTCTTTCTCTACAATAATTTTATTTTCATAAATTTACTTAATGGTTTATTTGTTAATCATTTTACCCAAAAACCATTTTATTTTCAAAAGCCATTGCAAACTAGTGAAGGGGTTAACTTTAGTTGACTTTGACGTTAGTAGGTAATTTATATAATGCAGCTTGAAAGAATGCTAAATTTTGGGGCTAACATAATTGAGTTGGATAAAATCTAGAGTTTAAGTAGAAAAGTGGCTATTTCACTTTTCTCAAAATGTAACCTTTGTACCTTTTTTTTATAATATTATGTTTGGTGGCAAGTTGCACTTTACATTTAGTTAAATTTTAAAAGAGTAGTGTAAGCTTATGAATTTTGACTTCTTGGGAGGTCACTCATCCCAATACTACTCAAAACCAAAGATGTTTAACCCCAAGTGTCCTAAGATCTTTAACCGATTGGAAAAAAGGGTATATTTTTATTTATATGCACTTTTCTTCTATATTTAAACTTTTATAAATTATTTTTTGAGTCAATCTCTTTGGTTGCTTACAAGTAGTGAACTCTCACTCATCTTAATTTAGTCTTGGTGGCCTTGTGCTTTGGCTAAGGATGGTGATGTTCAATTGAGTTATTTATGATGGCGTTGTAAGTATTTGTATTGTCGCTTTGTTTATTAAGAGGTTGTGTACCTATGGAAGTCCATCTTATAGTCTTCACTTTAGTTTTAATTGAGTATTGATCATTTATTGCTAGCCTCTTGAGTTGTGCTTTGCACTAATTTAATTAGATGTATAGGTGAGTTTATTACTATTTGATTAAATTTGAGTAGTTATTTTGTTTGTATTTGTCTATGTTCCAATGTATTATACTTAGAATGTTACCTTTTTATTGGATAAATATATGATTTAATGATGTGAGTTTGGTATTTGAGTCTTGTGAAGGCAAATTCAAGAGTGATTGTTGGTTGTTTTAAAAATAGTGATTGCTTGTAGACTTAATCAAGGACTATTGACACTTAGCTTAATGATGATTTGGTAATGATGGACTTATTTATCAGATGGTATTGAGGAGGATTATGTTGTTGGGTTTAGTTTTTCCATATTAGTATATCAATTCCATCTCTTTTAGTATTGCCTAATTGCATTTAGTCCATATTAAATGCATTAAATCTTGGACATAGTGATTCACTTCTATGAGAGGTTAAAAATATATAGTAAAGATAGTATGTAAGTTAGGCATAGCTAATAAACTTGAGGCATTGTCTAACTCTCTATTAGTTATATTTGTATAAGTAATTAAAGAGAAAAACTCAAGAGACTATTTGTAAAAATGGACCTTCTTTTTCAATTGGTTAAAGGTTTTGGATTACTTAAGTGTTTTGAATTATTTGCTGAAAAGTCTAAATTTAGGAGTTTATATTTAGTATCAAAGTAGTGACTCTATTAGTGAGCTAGAGAAATCACACCACTTATTGAGATTGACATCTAGTAGTCCAATTTAGTTTGGCTAAGCTCAACTTAAAAGGCAAGATACCATTTTGAAAAAATGGGTGAAACCCAATCAATTAAAAAAGTGGAGGAATAGATGGCTCTTATGTTCCTAAATTCTATCACACCTTCTGATCTTCCACCACATAAACTCTATCTCAAACAAGATGTTATTCTTATCCTCTTAAAGAATATATCTCCATTAGTAGGATTATGCAATTCTCATCTTTAAAAATGCATTACCAAATGTTTTAAATTGTGAAATTGTGATGGGGCAATTTAAAGGGACAAGAGTTTTTATCCCACATATCACACTAATACCATCAAATACGGAAATTCCATTTAAAATGTCTAGACGACAATTTCCAATTTGTTTGGGTTACTACTTAACAATCTCCAAATTTTAAAGATAAACATTTGACTGACTTGGAGTTTATTTGCCCCACCCAATTTTCACTAATGGGCAACTTTATGTGGCTTTATCAAGATCCACATCACCACATGAACTTGAAATTAAAGTTCAAAACACCACACGCCAAAAACCACTTCCTTCCTCAAGATCCTTCTGTTTTTACAATCAACACTGTCTATAAAGAGGTTTTATATTGAACCTCTTTGTAAACCACCCAGCTTTTGCTGGGCAAGTACTAGTATAGTTCATATCATTCAGGACTGCGAGCAACAAGATGAATCGTCAAAAGAAAAGAAAGAAAGGCATAAGTAGACTTACCTTAAGCGGAGGAAGAGAGGAGACTGAGTCTGCCAGGCTCTTGAAAGAATCCGGATCCAAGATCGCCATGTTTGCCAGTAGCTGGCGATTGAGCTCCACTTTCTGGCGATTGAGCCCGTGCATGAATTCGCTATACCCAAGCTATCCAGAAAGAAAGACAAAAGAGTCAGTCAGCTTGGCCCAAATTCTGACGAGAAGAGAATGTGGAGGAAAAAAGAGAACTTGTGAAGGAGAAGAACTGTGAAGAATGTGGAGAAGAAATAAAACTTCGATAAGAAGAAAAAGAAACTGACAAATAGAGCATTGATAAGAAGAAGAAACCGTGAAGAATGTGGAGAAGAAATAGAACTTAGAAGAAGAAACTGTGAAGAAGAGAAGATGTGGAGAAGAAATAGAACTAACAAGAAGAAGAATGTTGAGGAAGAACGCGATTCTTACCCCGTGGAGTCGAGCAGCAGCCCCAATTCTCGTGATCCACAGCTTGTGGAAATCTCTCTTCTTCCTCCGCCTATCGCGATACGAGTGCTCCAGGGCCTTGGCGACCCGATCCCGCGCAATCCTGTGCACCTTCTTGCCCCTAAATCCCTTGGCCAGCTCCAGCACCAGCGCCTTGTTCCTCACGACCTTGCCCCTGCCAGGGTATGGCCCCAGCTCCTTCTTGCCCCTCTCCAGGATCTTGCGCGCCTCCTCCTTGTCGCTGCTGCTCCGCCACGCGCTGCCCGTCTTGCTGCGCGAGCATCGGATGATCGCCGTGCCCCTGCCGCCGCGACTCGCCGCGACTCGCCGCGCGCTGGGTTTGACCTGATGCCGCAGGCGAATGTAAAGAACGATCGCGAAGAGGAGAGCAGCATTCTCGCCCTAGAGAAACCTATCCTATTTGCTCCTGACAATAAGATTCAACGATATTCTCCTTACGAAATCATCGTTCCGTGAACTCCGGAAGAACAAGAAATCTATGGGATGATCCAAGTTGCGCCTGTACTTGTCTGGAATGCAAACTAAGGACCAAAGCTAGGAAACGAAGAAAAGCATAACATTACCAGTTGTTTAGCAGAGGAATCCAGACGCTGCTAATGTGTTTCAGCTTAAAATGGCTTTGGAGTATCTTCAACCAGCTTTTGGAGGTGTCATAGTGGATGTGAGCTGCAGGTCCACTAGATGATTGACCGAGAGATGGCCACTGGACGAACTTCCTGTAAGATATGTACTTTCCTTTGCTCACTAGCAAACTTCTGGTTCAAACAGGTTGAAAGACACAAGTACATGTGATTGATAACGAGCTATGCATTCACAATCCTCACGCTCCTATAACGAACCCAGACAGAAAATGCAACTACAAGAATTATATTGAGGTATGCTATGATTCTCTGATCATCCAAACTAAAGTGTGTATGTTTTCCAGGTGCTTCGACGGGGGACAAGTGTGGCATTTACCTTGGAAGGAGTTTTGACAATACCCTGACAAGTACTATTAGACTCCTTCCAGGTAAGAATAAAGAGGAGGTTGTCAAGCAGCTGCGCTATTATTCAAGGCTCCTGGTCACGGCACTTCCAGTAAGTAATTTTGTATAGTGTTTCTTGCATGTTCACTCTTAACTCATCTATTCAAGGTTTATGTAATCCGTGAGTATGCACGACTTAGCATGGCTTCTCTCCCTGGAAGTTCCTATTCTTACACTGGCTCACTGTAAGTATCACTGTTAAGTTTTCTCTTGAGATATGCAAGCTCTTTACACTTGGTGTTTGTTTTTTCAGTGCTCTGGCTGCGATGGAGAGAGGGATTTGGAACTCCAGTTTTGTTTGTTTATCAAAACTATGGTTTTTCCTCAGCTTGATGACCACACCGGGCCGCAGTGTCACTGGGATGGAGCTAAGCGAGCAGGCAGGCAGGATCCACTTACATTGTCCAAAGGAGGTGAAGCCATTCAAGAGGTTTCACTCTCGTCAAGTGTCAACTCAATGGTAAGCTTCGAGATATTTTTCCATTCATTCGTTTGCTAAGTGACGATCATCACAGGTGGAGCCTTGACTGCGAGAACGTTTCATCAATGTGGATGCTCGTGCTGCCACCGCCCACCCAGCACCACACTGGCCAGCCCCCGGCCGCGCCGCTCTGCCGCCACCGCCACCGCCACCGCCGCCCCGCTGCCCTGCCACCGCGCCCGAAACTAACTCGAAAATTCTGCAACTGCAATTCTTGTCTCGAAAATTCAAGTAGTTTTGCTAAAAAATGGCCCATGTGAGTGTGAGGGTGTTCGAGACTCGAGAGTGTACAAATTCGCAGCTACTTACGTGGAGTGCTTTGCAAAGGAGATCGACGTGGTCTATCAAAATCACCTGAGCACCAAGCAATACACAGCATTTCAAAGACTGAACCCAACAAGATGTTCAAGGTACGTACCCATCCAGAGTATTATCGCTTGCATCAGCGGGCCTGGAGATATGCCCGCGGAGTGCTCAAAGCCACTTCTTGTCGCTTCTCACATGAGTATTCTTGTGGCCGAGCCTCTAGAAGTTGCTCTAGGGCTGTTCCTGAACGGCTGCTACAATGGCTATGTGGATGCTGGACATCGGGGGGAATTCATAGTGAAGCTCATCTTGCTGCAAGCTTGTTGGAGCTTGTACAAGGGTGACTACTACTTATGCCGCATTCCTCTCCGGGATTATCTCCAACGATTGCTGGGCTGGGGGGAGGCACAGGTTGACGAGGCATGCAGCGGCCTGGATGAATCTGCTGCGATCTCTATTAACAGTTTAAATGCTGGTTAAGCAGGGGGAGTTGAGCAGCTGCATTGTAATCATGTACAAAGCCAACAATAACATGCAAGTCGCAGCAATCCAAATCAAAGTGGTGACGGTCCTCATCAGTGTCCAAGAACCAAAATTTAAAGAGCTAGTGCCAACAAAGGAAGGATCTGGCAGGATGACGAAGCTTATGGCAAGAAGATAGTGGACAATAACAGTTTATGGTTTTGAACCCAACTTTTGTTTCCTTGGTGCTGAGACGAAGAGACTTCTGGCTCAACTTTCAATTGCAATGCTAGATATATGGGTGGAGGCTGGAAAGCAATTAGGTGAAGCCAAATCATAAGCTCCATTATGATATGACATCACCAGACTGTAAACACACTTTAAATTTACTCATAATAATGCTCATTAATCAGCTAATGTGGTTTTCCATGAGTTTAAATTTAACTTTGGTTTGGGTGTTTTATATTTGTGATTTCTTAGAGGATATACAAGATAAGTTTAAGTTGACAAAGTTGAACATGAAACAAGCTTAAGAAAAAGATAAAAGATTAGCTGATGAGCATCATCATTATCAAAAAGTACAAAGTTGGTAATGAAGTTTTCTTTAAACTGTTAAATGTAAAATAGTCTCTGAAAGGAGGTTAGTGTTACATTGTCTTCACAGTATTGTGGGCCTTGGATGATTTTACAGTATTTTAGACTTGCCAATTAGTTCAAAAATTCATTTAATGTTCCATGTAAGCAAACTTAAAATATGTATACACTATAGTGATGTTATAGATCAATCCGTCATCCAAGTCTTAAAGATTGATGTTGAGAAGGTTAGTTTGGCCAATATTCTTATTTAAAGATTAGTGAAAATACACTATAAAATAACTCAAGAGTTGTTAATTCAATGGAATGGTCATTTTATGGACAAAGTTACATAAGAAATTGAGGATGATATGAAAAGAGTGACCATTCTATGAACAAAGCTACATAAGAAATTAGAGTGTTTTCAAATTTTAATTATGATTTGGTAAGAAAGGGGAGATTTGAGTTCTATAGCTGTATTGGTATATAATTTGAGCTATTTGTTTTATTTTCATTTTTTATTTCCATAACCATATTAAGTTATATTGCTTTTTTCTTTCATGGTTATTTATTGTGACATTAGTGTTGTAGTTTGATATTTTTCTCCATGACTGTATTGCCTTCATGTGAGGCACCATCTGTGGCTGGATCACGACCGAGCAGTTAAGTTTTCGAAAGTGAAATTTTAGGGTTATTAGAGTACAAGAGATAAAAGACCTTGTCAACTAGTTTACTTGTTACCTGAAGTTTTTACCACTTGATAATTCAGTTTCAGAGCACATGATTTTTAAAGAATACAGTGCAACAAATGCCTCCCCAGCCTGCCATGGCAATCGATCCATATAGTATCATAATCTTGCCAAGGTTCCAACAAGATGCCCAAAGAAAAACATATTTGTTTGTTAATATTGTTTTCTTTATGCCATAACCTTCTTCTCAAACTCCAACTATTGTTCTAGCATTGAGCATGGGAATTCTGTGTGTGTGAAGCCTGGAATGCTGTGGCTCCAAGAGTGCATAATATGATCACTCCTGGATCTGTTGCTGCTGCAAGGTCTAGTGCTGCTCAGCGCTCCTGGCTTTCAGGGGGTATTTTAGTCCAACAATATGCACCTGAATTGATCGTGGAAAGTAGTCCTAGTCCTGCGAAGGTGGCTGCGGTTTTTCGCCATGAAAGGAGTACCACCATTTTTTAAATTTTTTTTGATATGCAGCATGTTTAAGGCGATGCAGCAAATTCTACATAACCTCTGCTTCGGGAGTTTGCTGTGCAGATCCCATGATGGATAGTCAATTTATATGGTTTGGGCCAAATATATTCCTTGGGCTGATTAGCAATGGTTATGTTCCAATTATATATAAGAATCGATAGACGTCAGTGGAGAAGAGGAAGGAATGATCGATCAAATCTCGATCCACAATGGCGCTGGTAGCACCGAGTCCGGCGACTCGGGTTCTTTAGGATCCAGCTTGTGATCGTGAAGCCTCGATGATGGATGGATTGGAATTTTGATGGATGCCAATCCACCCACGCGAACAGCCACGAAGAAGCTCGCGTACATGTTTACTCTGTCCATGTAAGCCTTGCTCGTTGCTACTTGGATCACTGCGCAGAAACAATTGGTTCTTAGCTTCCAAAAACAGTTCCAAAAAGGAAAGAACTTCGAACCTTTGAATCCAGATTTCTCGATGCAATTGGCGTAGCTTGGAGATCGCGACGCACTGCGCCAGATCACGCGGCCTCCAGGCTAAAAACCAAGTAGAAATCACAAGTGTGAGGTAATCGACAGTGTAGAAATTGGCAACTACTTACAATTACATGTGCTTGCAGCGCTTTGCAAAGGACATCGACGTCGCTTTGTTCTAGCCAGTCGACGTGGTCCATCAAAATCACCTGAGCACCAAGCAATACACAGCATTTCACCAAACAAGAAGTTCCAGGTACGTACCTTGGTGTACATTCGCTTCGAAAGCTCCTCCACAAATGTGGCTGTCCGGATCAACAGGCACTCCTCCGCAGCAAGCCTTGTCTGCAACACAGCTCAAAAGTCTTGAAATCCATGGCAAGTCGTTCGTGTGTAGTACCTTGAGTTTGTGGAAGTTTTCCTTTTCCAGGAAACGAGGACAGCAGTTAGATGAAAACTTCCCAGTCAGGCAGCAGCGGTAAAAGTAGTTGCTGTCTCGGAGATGTGAATACGCAGCTGTTGAATTTAGACAGCGGACAATGTAGCTGTGAAAACAAAGGACAAGTGGTTCAATGAGAATCACGCCTGAGAAAGATGTCTTACTTGTATAAGTTGCCCTCCTTGCGTAGCAGACGAAGCTGGCCTTTGCACACTCCAGCACAAAACCACATCGTGAATCTGTTGGTTACGAAGAAAGATACCATCTTCGCAAAAATCCCAGCTTGTGATAGCCAGTTTCCTACACAAGCGAACCTGCTCAGGCAATCAAAGTGAGACAGTTACTTTTGGTGCATGCGGATGCATTATACCAGAGCTCTCTTTGTTGTTGTAGCGTGGGCGCATTAACAAGAGACTCGATGAAGCGCTCCTGTGAAGAAAAACAACAGATTCAGATAACCTTGCTCAAAATTTTGGCTGGAAGAACCTTTCGTGTAAGCCTTGCAAGCGCCCTTACTGCTCGAATGAGTCGACCCATACCACCTGCATAACTTTGTAGATTAGAGGCATCATAGCAGAGTAAGTTCCATGTTACCGTGGTAGTACAATCCATCCTTGAAGTACCTGGCTTTTTTTCTCCTGGAATAAATAAACACAGCTCTTCACACGGAGATATAAGAAAATTTGCTACTTACCAGAAATTCACAGCCCCCTGGCTAAGAAAGGGAACGAGTTCCTTTTCCAGCAAGCTTTCGAAGGTTGGATGTACGCCCTCTCCAAACATTTTCCAGGCATCCTCAAAAGAAAGCCTGCACAGTTCAGATGTGAGGAAATCAAGAATTTTCAAGAGGCTTTACCTCGTTGTTGCCAGACGCTTAAGTTCAAGAAGGTAGCTTTGAGCAGGATTCATATCAACAGCAACCACTTGTTTCGCACCCTGACAAAATGTGGTGGTGCTGAGATTATAAACTTCAGAGGGAAGAGAAATGACTTACTTGAAGGACTAAATCCAGAGCATTGCACCCTCCAGAAGTAAGTGTCAAGACAACGTCTGATGGATTAATGTCCAAAACCTTCTCATCTTCACGAGGATCTTCCCACGACAAGGAGTACAGAAATGTTGGAGGGAACGAGCTTGGACGTTTGGCTTCCAAATCATCCGAGGCCCTTATCGGAAACCGCTGCAAGTTTTGATCTGAAAAGATAATGAATGAAAAGCTAAGCTGCCGACAATCAACACTAGTACGAGCCCCCCCTTTACCATGGCGTCCGATTTTTCGACCAATCCAGATGTAGTAGGGAGCCTCCAACACTGGGACATAAGGAATTCTCCCACTGCCATTAAACTCACAAACTAAAACAAAGCCAGTGCATTAAGCTTTAGAAAATGAAAGCACAAACCACGACATACCACACCTGGTTCGAGCTTGTGTTCCAGGTAGGTTCTGCGCTCCGGCCCCAAGTCAATGCCATCCAAGTCAAACACGGATCTCCAAAACCAGCGGTTAAGCCACGAATGCTGACGGTTGGGCTTATCATACTTGGCGGAGGTGTAAAAATCTGTCACACCCATGATCCCGTCATCCGCGAGATAAGTCAACGCCTTGTCTACGACTTTCATGAATGGTGGGATCACTGCAAAAGAATAAACAGTCCAATCCATTATAAACGAGCTGCGACAGTTACACATCGAAACTGCCAAAGGAAACAATATAAAAAGTCCAGCAATGCGAAAAAACTGTTGATCAATAAAACACACACACAGAAAAGACCAACTGTCGATGTAACAAGCAACGAAAGCAAACGCAGTGAGGACAAACGAGAAAAGAAGTTCTCGTACAAACACTTCACTTACTTGACAATGAATAGGAGAAGGTCACAAGTGTCGCGGCCTGGCCTCGGGGCTGGAACTCGCATGCGTCGCCCTCAATCACCTCGACGTTACTCCAACCAAATCTTTTGGACTTTGCCGCGGCCACGTTGCACAGCGCCGAGCAAAGATCCACGACGTAGATCTTCCGGAACGAGCTCAGGTCCATGTACTTGGACATCATCTTGACGTTCTCAGCAGTGCCGCCGCCCAAGTCAACCCAGACGAGGTCGGATGATCCGCGGAGGCGCGCCGCGCAAGAAGCCAGCATCTGCTCGCGGCCGTGGAGGAATCCCGCGCGGAAGTGATCATCTGGAGGAGGGAATCGTGAGAAATTTCGGCCGAGGATGGAAATATCGGAAGATTTTGGGGGAAAAGGGAGGGACTGGAACTTACATGCATTGGCCTGGGAGCTGTAGAAGGAATCGAGGCGCTGCTTGTGCGATTCCCCCTTGATCCTCCCAAACCACATTGTGGCCAGGCATCGAAGATCCTCCTTCCAGCGCCGCGTCTTGCTCGATTCCTGGAGCTTTTCCATCGCGCACACGGCCCCGGCGGTGATGCACAGCAGGAGCCATATCAGGACGATCATAGCTCGGCTCGTGGCAGAGCAAGGAGAAATCAATGCCGCCGGGGCCGTGCGCTCCCGAAATCCCTGCTGAAGAATCGATCACAATCACAATGCGGCCAGTCGTGACGATCGATCGAATCGCGGCACAAAAGAAAGAACTGTAAAACCCTACAAATTATTTCTGAGCGTTCGGACCAGTATAAAAGGCCGGAGCAGGCATATTCCACCACCAGATGCTAGTATATTCGCAAGGGAATGTTCCTCGCTCGATATTATTCTCTGAGCCTTTGGACCACACCTTTCTTTTTGAAATTTGGAGTGGCTCTATAATTGAATTTCATATTTGCCGTACTTATTGGCACAAGCATCAATTTGCAAGGCAGTTGCAAACAAAGGGTCCACATGGGTATATGGTCCTTCTATTTTCTAGTTAATCATAACAGTTCTTTATGATGAAAGGAAAAAGAAACCAGATAAGACAAATCTATACCATTCAAAAGAACTGGGTAAAATCGCACAAGAATGTTTGGAATATTCTTAGGGCGCCATATTTTAGGGTTCTTCGAGCGCCCGCTGCGCGAGCGCGAGAAGACATTCCATCGTCTTGACATGCCTGGTGAGTCCGAACTCCCCCGAGAAGGTGTAGAAATTCTCCACGTCCGAGATCGTGTCCAGCATTTGTCTTAGATGCATTGCAGTGCCCGCTTCTTGGATCTCTCGCTTGAATCTCTCGCTGCTTTTGGCGAGAACCGTGAGCAGCTCCACAGCGTAGCGCCTGAGCCGCAAGAGCTTGTGGGAGGGCGGTGGTCGGCGTAGAATCCCCGCGATTTTGTGCGCTAGAGCTCTCGAGTCGATGTGTTTGTCTAGAGAGGATTTGTTTGAGTGTGGAACTGTGGCTGCTGCTAGTCCTAGAGCCGCTTCTAGCTCTTTTCCTTCCGCGACAAGGATAAACTCTAGAAGTTTTGGCGTGGAGGTCGCCACTCTACGCGCTTCCTCTTGGCTCAAAAACGCACAGAGGTTGCGAAGGATCTTCGCCGCGCGAGTCGCGAGCTTTGGATTGTCCGCGAGTTTGGCGATGATCTGGTCCAGAGTTTTCTCGTCGCCTCTACACATTCTCCGGCAGTTTCCCGGGCTTCTCAGCGCCAAGACGTTGAGTGCTTCACCAGCTTTCTGGCACAAACGTAGCTTGCTGTTTGCAGTCGCTTGTGCCGTGTCTTGTAGAAAGATCTGGAGGATGTTCCGGATGATCCCACCCGTGCTGCCGATGTTCTCTCTCGCGCAGTCGTCCAGAGCCAGGTTCGTGAGGATGTCGAGAGCGAGTTCTTGTAGAAGTGGATGGTTTTGTGCGTGCTCGAGGATGTTTCTTAGGTGCCTGATCGTGAACACCACCTTTGCAATGTCTTCTCGCAAGAGCTTCCCTTGGTAGCCTGTTGTTGTCGCCATGCGTTTTAGAATCTGGAGCGATTTCTTCAGCACCTTGAGCTCATCTCTTCCCTTTTTTTTCAGCTCGAACCCGTCCTTGATCTCGATCAGAGTCACGAGAATCGGTAACATGCCTCCAGTGTTTCCAATCTTGACGCAGTTTTGCTGATCGGTCGCTATTCTCTTCAGGATTCGCAGGCCAACCAGGCGAAGCTGGCGATCATGAAGAAGGGAGGCAATGTTCTCCAAAGCTCCAGCGATGGCGATGATTCTAAACGAGACGCTCTTCTGGCAGGCAACTTGGCAAACAATTTGTGCAGCCACTCGTTGGATATCTTCCTCGTACTTCTCTTTCCAAGTAAGCATTTCTATCAGCCGCTCTATAACTCCCGGTTTCGTTCCGATTCTCCTCATCGTCTCCTCTGCAAGATCCTCCCGTTCTAGAAACGCCAGCAGGATACAAGCGCCCCCGAGTTGCTCCCTTGCGTTGTTCTCCTGGAGATCATCCATTCCATAGGCCACAAGATCCATGCCGAGTCCATCGAAAACACTGCCTTTGAGACAGTCCGAGTATACTTCATAGTAAAAGCGCTTGACGTTGTCGATTTGATCCGTCCCGAGCCGGCACTCCCGAGTCACCCTAGAAACCAGTCCTTTGTAGCCAACTTGAAACTCCCAGTAAGCTCTCTCCGCTAGAAAGATCAAGGCCTCGGCAAGGACGAGCGAGTAGAAAATACCGAGAGCGTAGTCTTGGTTCTTGTTCTTGGTGGAAATTCCGCTGAGCTCTGCAGTGGAAAGTCGAGTGACCGACAACCCAACGCAGACGAGAGCCGACGCGAGTTGCATGACGTAAAGGAGAGCACTGATTCGGTTGGCAGTGAAAAAGCTTGCGCCTTGATCGCTCGAATTCTTATCTGACAACTTTGTCTCGGGCTTGTGAGCAGGGACTAGATCCGGCTGCGAGGAGCTTCCAAAGATGGTTGGCCGGGTATGGTTTATGATCGACTTTGCTCGTGTTCTAATGGAAATCCTCGGTGCAGCTTGCTGCCACTCCAGCTCGTGGCTCCGGCTGAAAACTCGCGTCCCCTCGGTGAGCAGCAGCACGGAGATGATCCAGAAATCCCTGGCCTCCAGGCTGGTGACGAATCCCCCAAGCAAAACCACCGTCGCCCAGACGAATGCCACGACTCCCAGCCCACTCGCGGCCTTCTCCAGCACCGAGAGCCTCAAAGCTACAAGTATGAGTTCGTGCTCCGGTGGTGGTGGCGATGGCTTTCTCACGCTCTTTTCTCGCAGGCTGCCGGAGGAAGGCGCTGCTCCAGCGGGTGAGAACGGGGACTCCATCTCTATGCTCGTCGCTCCTTGCTCGTGGAAAACCATCGCTCTGCCGGCCTCGACATCTCTCGAGAAGATCAAACTCAACGACGACATTCTTCTTCCTTGGAGCTCGTTTGCTCCAGGACATGGTTTTATGTTCGTGCATGGAAATCTGTGGAAGCGGCCAGGGAAAGTTCCGAACGTTCCTTGCGGTGAAACGAGCTGTCACTTCAGCGTGAAGTTAGCTGCTGGTTTCGTCAAGAACTCTTTTCTACTGTTAAACAAGTAAGCTTTTTGTTGATCCTGTCAAAAACGACAATCTTTTTTACTTATTTTTTTCTTTTGCAGTGCTAGGTGCCAAAAAACGAAGAAGGAGAAAAAAATGAAAAACCTGTATGGTGCTTCCCACGAATGGTGGGAGCTTTTATTCGTCCGGAAGAGAAGGTTCGTTCGTCTCTTCTTTTGTAGCGTTCATTCGTTTGCTGTTTGTTCTTACCAGGCCTCGACTCTCTCGACGTGTTGATCGATTCTATTGACGAGGCTACCTCCGCGAGCTTTGGAGATGCTGGACTGCTTGGAGTGGGACCTCGCGCAGTGGGAGTAGTCATCGTAGTGATCTTCGCGGCCCCTGGCGTTTGAGCTCGAGTTTAAGTTGGAGTTCGCGGGATTCAAGCTCGCCACCACCCTCGACTCGCTGGTGGCGTCTCGGCGAGGGGGCGGCTGGAGCGAGAGAGGAGGCCCCGATTCCAGCAGAACCTCCTGCCTGTCTCGAATCGTCCGGAGGATCAACGTTTTGAGGAGATTCATCACTTGGACGGCGTGCATGAGCGCTGTCAACGGATCTGCCATCTGAACGGAGCAGAATAAAAATTAAAGAGATGAGACAGTGAGAAGCGAAGGAACAGAAATTCTAGCACTTGCAAATCTACTTGGGAAGACACCCAAAAGCTCACGAATCGAAGCCACGCCAGGGACAAACGGGAATTTTCAAAGTCCCGCATATCAATCAGTCGTTTGAAATGCCTGAACGGACTAAAGCGAAGCTCTGGAGAGCTCTGCGGGAGCTCAAAGAACGAAAAAAAGGAGCGACAAGAAAGAAAAAAAAAAACCGAGACGAGAAAACAAAGACTCGCGACGACCAAACAAATCCAAATGCTGTCCGGAACAAGGGATAAAAAACAAAGCATTTCCAGGGAAGACTTGACTGTGTGCTCGGCCAGAAAAAGATAAAAAGACGAAGACGACTCGCGAGAAATTAAAAAGTAGAAAAGCTTGCCTGTGTCATGTTTGGTGCGAAGACCATTCCAACGTTGCGAGCGTTCATCTTGTTGAAAGCCTCCTCCTGCGCGACGTCGGCCATGAGATTGATGGCCCAGTCGAGAAGTGCTGCTTGCATGGGTGGGAGCAGCTTGACCACCGCAACGCACTGCTCCTCGGTGTGGCACTGCATCACTTGCTCCGGCGAGAGTGTGTCGAGAACGCCAGTCGGAAGCTCTCGGAACCAAGCCTGTTTAGCACCAGTGGATCCGTCGATCAGACAAGCTAGAGAGAAAAGGAAGGAGAACTTTGATATGTACCTTGATGAGACCAGCTAGGCAGTGGAGATCAATATGAAATGGTACGATGCCCTTGTTGAGTTGCTCACGCACATGCTCTTCATGGCTGTTCTCAGCATTTATGCGGAAGATGCCTTCGGCCTGGAATAACAGAAACGAAGAGCAAAAGTAAGCAACAAAGAAGAGGAGAAAAGAAAAGGCAATAAAATATTGCTGCTACTCGGACTAATTCTCGAGTACTTCCAACACCTGAAAGCGATGGAAGGAATCCATAAAAGCTCAGGTCTCACCTTGAGTCCACCGAGACTGTAAAGCCGATCTTGCATCCGGAGCAGAATGGTCGGTACACTATTGCCCCTGGAATCGTACGAGCACTGCATGGACTCGGGAGAAACACCGAAAACATTCGCACTGCCAGGTAAAACAACAAACGCGAACTTAGTACATTTCCACATCTATAGAGAACCACCACCAAAACTAGAAAAGCATAAACAAATGGCAAACTTCGAAAACCACGAAGAACACCAACACCAAGAACAAGGAGTACTGTATAGTCAAAAACCAAACAACCAAACAAACGGGAGTACAAACCAAGCAAGAAAAAAAAAAACTAGAGAAAAGACCAAAGGAAAGAAGATCAAAGGTACGTACCTGGCGCTGGGAGCTCGTCTCGGGATTTCCACCTCGAACTCCACGGGAAGTCCGAGAAAACCATTGAATCGATCAAAGGTGACGTGCGTGACATGCCTCACGTTGGTCGGCCAGCTTATGTCCATTCCATTGCCGGAGCCGCCACCTTCGTGATCGTCAATAGTGGCGCAAGTGAGAAGCGAGCGGCGGAGCGTGGTGAGCATGAGAGCGATGACCGGAAGCTGATCTTGGTCGCCATCTTTGAGCTCGATCTCTTGCCGGAGATCCATTTGATCTCTCCGCCGCATGATGTGTTCTTCGTAGTCGAGCAAGTTGCACATACTCTCGTGCCGCTGGTGGCTTTGATTCTGGCGATGGATCTCTCCTTCTCCCTGTTCTTCCTCCTCCTTTCTCTCATGGCGATCGCTCTCCAGCACCGCCGAGAGCGTCGAGGAATTGTAGTTCGCGGAGGAGCTGGCGGCCGCGAAGTTTGGAGGTGGTGGAGGAGGATCGACGTAGGAGAAATCCGCGGAGCTGGCGGGATCGATCTTGCCGAAGAGCCGGCTCTGGGCTTTCAATCTCAGCTGCTTCATGTAGCCCGCCCACGGCCTGGAAGCGATGGATCGATCGAGTTAGAGACTTTTCTTCCATTCTAGAATCTAGATAGTAGTTCTCAAGAACAAAGGAATGATATAAACAAAAAGAGAGAAAGAAAGAGAGGGAAGAAACCAAGCACAGCAATGGATGGGACAAGAAATCCAAGCTATGAATTGCTCGCGAAAAAATCCAATTCCAGCGCAAGGAGATCGCTACTGACAGCTTTAATTTGGAAGAAGAGCCACGAAACCAGACCAAGATCCTCATTGCTTCGTGTGTCAGCCAGCCAGCGAAGAACGCGGTAGAATCACGCGAGAATTGGGAGAAAAGAGAGAAGATTTTCGCGATCTCTTAAGAGATTGCCGAGGAAACGCTCAAGAACAGCGATCTTGGAAGATTGGCGAGAATGCAGGTAAAGGAGCGAATTGGAAGGAGCAATTACATACCTGGAGCCGACGCCGTCGACCGCCGGGATTTCCAGCTTGGTTGTTGGAATGTCACCGATTCTTCCTTGTCTTTGTCGCAAGGAAAAAGAAAAAACCCTCTAGAACGCGCCCGGATTGAGCACCAAGAACTCCAAGAACAAGAACAAGAAAGAAAGAATATCGGCAAGAACAGCGATGGGAGGGTCCCCTGTTCTTTCTTGCGATGCTCGTCTACTCCCTGGTAGCGGGGAAGGAGGCGAGTATTTGAAGAACGAGCGATCAATCGATCGACTGGTGGATGAATCTGGAAGCAAGCCTGGTGCCGGGCGCAATTGATTCGATCTCTAGCGGCCTGGGTCCACTCAATCGAGGATTTCTTGCGGCAGCGGCCATGAATCAGCCACAAAACATCAAAGAAAGCGAAAGATTTCTGTGAGAGCGAGAGGGAGAAAGAGAGAGCGCAGCAAGGCGGTGAGATCAATCCATCAGTCAATCGAGAAGGAGGAGCTTCTACACCACGCCATCATCTAGCAGAAACTCATTGTTGGATCGTCGGCGGCATCTATCTCTCTTTTCTTTCAATCTTGCGCCTTCCGCCATAGCCAAACCTCCTAGCTACGATGAAAAAAAAAAAGACATACATACACATGCCCATACACATACATGACATGGGCATGATGGCAGCCACGTCCGCTAAAATGGTTAATACCCTGTTTTAACAGCCATTAATGGAAGCTGTTAAAACACCCGCGCTCCATAATTTAAACGCCGCCGGTGTGAAAACGACTCCTACCAGACTGGTAAAAACGAACGGGGTGCAGCCGGACCAGTCCACGTCATGGGCTCATTCGATCGTGGAAGCCAACCGCCATCAGCATGACCATGCTATGGCCATGGGACCTATTCATCCCAGGCGTCCACGTGGCAGCCAGCCGAATGAATGCGCGAAACTTGGTAGGGAATCCACCTTTAGGGCAGAGGGAGACAGAGAGAGGGCAAAATAGCGCATGGGCGAAATTAATTGGTTCGTAGCTGGATAGTGGATTTTTTTCTCTCCATCATCGCCGATTCATCAATCTTCCGTGTAAATAACGCCGCGGATGATCCAAACAGGCAATCCCCGGGCATCAATTTTCACATTTGCACCACGAAAACGAACAAATGCCGCGAGCTACACGCATCCCCTGTTTTTAGGGCTTCACAGAGCATAATTTGTAAGAATATTCGTCATTTCTAAAAACATTTAGGGCTCCATTTGGCTCTGGAGCAAGAAAACAGCGCCCCAAAGGCTGCTCTACCTGCTTCTCTTTCTCTTTCTCTGACCGCCTTTCCCTTTTTTCTTGACACCCATGACCCATCTCTTCTCTTGCAGCAGTCACCACCACCTAAATCACATATAGAGAAGAACCATTTCAAAAGATGAAAGCGAGGGCAAGGGCAAACTTCTCCAAAGTTCATGGAACTCACCAATGGGTGGCTCTAGTTTCAATAGAAGTCACTTGACCACGAGTAACACTGAATTTTTCGTGCCTCAAATTGTGGATTTTGTAAAATCCCTATGGGACATTAGAGAATGTACATACACATTTCACTCACCTCCAAAAACTCACAACAGAAGCTCCAAAAGGATCACACTCGCGACATTCCGCCACCTGGAGAGATTTTGCCAAAAGTGATGCAGTGCTTAGAGCAATCAGTCAATAAATTCTCACCTTATTTCTGGCTTGGGCGATTGCTACGGCCTCTCGTTTGTCGGATCCTCTGTTCTTCGCAGCACAAAGAAGCTGAAAAACCAACTCATCCCACAGCCCAGCCAGCCAGATCTGTGGGTGGTCCCGACACACAAATTAAGACGCTTCCCAGCAAATAGCTAGCAAGCTTGGATGCTTCCCATGAAAACCCCAGAAATCCTGAATTCATTTCTGTAGCCTGTAGGTGGTCGATCAATAACGACCACCATCACACACCGCACGACGAGTCGACGATGCAAGCAAGCGGTGGTGGTGGTCTTGATGAACGACGCCACAAAATAACCCAGGCAAGGAAAGAAAGCCTGCCAAAGTTCCCGGGGGAAGAACTCCAAACCTCAAGCAAGACGACTGACCAGTCCCTCTGCGGTGAAACTCTGAGAGAACGAAGCCGTAGACTGAAAAGACTCTGAGAAAACGAAACAAACACCTGCATGGGCGATAACTCTACACAAAAAACTTCACGACGACACACACCACGACAGGCAGAAAAGCTGCGAAGGGAAGAAAACAAAATGGGAGAAAGCCGAACCTGTTCTGAAGAGGGTTCAAGGACTCGCGACAACAGAATCAGCGGCCACAAGTGGAACTCTGTCTTGCACGGTTTGCCATACGCCTTGAAACTCGTCGTCAGAGCGAAGAATGGTCACGACCCTTTCCACTTTGCCCTGCTGCTCTCTGAACGATCTCTGCAGCAATACCATGTACTGATGAATCTCGTGGGGCAGCAGCGCGGAGAGCAAGTAGGGGAGGAGATGTGAATGAGAGGCTCCCATCAAGCTTAGCCCGTCAGCCATTAAAAGTTCCTGCTTCCTAGCATCCACACCGGCAACCTCCAGCGACGGCAACAGCTCTCTCTCCTCGTCAAGGAAATGCTTCACTGTCGAACCCTGGAGAAAACTGAATTAGCTCTAAAACGAAGAAAAAACTGCGAACAAAACAATTACCTTGAGAGTCCGCAGCTTGTCTACGAGAGCACTTAAAGCTTCAATGTGCGAGAAACTGCCTTGCTCTAAAACCATCACAGTCTTGATGTCTTCTCGGACGCCGTTCATCATCGGAAAATCTCTCGCGTGATCCTCATTTGCAAATTTCGTCACCCCTGCTCAAAGTCGAACCAACAAACTTGTAAGAACATCGATGAAAAGCTAACAGCAGAACCTCGAGAAAAGTTCTAGTACCGGACAAAACTGTGCCAAACTCTCAAAAGTCTTTCCATCTGCAAATGCAAGTGGGAAGATCTCTCAAGTAAAACTTCCTAGCGCTCACATTCAGCTGAAACACACGATACGCACCTCGTTCGGCTTTCTCAAGCGCGGGGAATATGACCTTCTCCTCCATCTGAGCGTGCTCTTGCATCAAGACCAGCAATCGATCGTAGTCCCTGGCAGCATTTTTGAGCTTGGTGGCAATGCCAACTTGAATCATCGTTGAGCCCCTTTGCGCCACCTGAGGCTTAGACTTCTTCTTCTGCTTAGATTTCCCCTGGCCGTGGTAGAAATCTCTGACCCCGTCCGAAACGTCCACAAGCCTCTCAAGGTGGCGGACTATACTCAAGTGTTGGAGCACGGTGTAAGCGACTGCTGGAGCGTCCTGCGAGCGATCCTCGAGCTCTTTGCAAGCGAAGCCATGGAGCGTTGCCTTGTCTGCCGAGACTGGAGAATAGCTCGGAAATCTTCCCATCTCGCGGATATAATCCGCTAGCTTCGTGTTCTCGTCGCCAACGTTGATCCCATGCAAGAACTTGAGAGGCTCCACAAGCTCCAGGAATGGAACCAGGTACACGTCCACCATTGTCATGGCTGCACCCATGAAGAACTTCCCCCCACTGGAATTCTCGGCGATCCCAGCGTTGAGCTTCCCAAATGCCGCGGAGAACTTCGCGTGGAAATCGTTGTCCAGCCGCAGATCCTTGTTCTTCCAGGCCTCCAGGACCAGAGGAGTGAAAACGTCCCTCACGAACGCTACCCACTGCCGGATCTTTTTCTTGAGCTTCCACGATGGGATTAGAGGCGGCTGCTTGAACTTCCCGTCAATGTAGTCAAGGATCGCGTCCGATGAGCCCGAGATCGTGTCCGATCCATGCTCCAACACTGGAAACCTCTCGAAATCCAGCCACGCCGATGGATCTTGGTGCTGCGGCTCCACTAGATCCGGCTGGATTCCCTTAAACTGCAATGCGATCCGGACCCTCGCAGTGAAAGGCGAGATCGCGAGCCCGGACAGGCGCACGAAATGCGTGCTGCCGGAGATCTCCGCCGCTGGCGCCACCGATGAATTCCTCCTCGCCTCGCAAGGGCATTCTGTTCTTGAGAAGCACGCACCCATCTCGATCGGCGCCGACGAGGAGGGTGAGCGCGAGAGCTTGGCGATCAATGCGATCCTTCCCCAGGGCATGATATTTCGCATCAAGATCCCTCACCCGTAGTCATCGCCTCGAGTCTTGGGCCGATTTGCTCGCTGCCGCAAGAGAATCCTCTTCAAGGCACCGCGCCTCCTCCTCTTTCTTCTTCTTCCTCCTCCTCCTACCCTAGAAGCGTGAAATCCCCGCAATGATTCATCATCCATGATCGCCACCGCTACCACCACCGCAAAAGTGATTCTTGCTGCGCATTGAAGAAAGAAGGGCGGGCGAGCGAACAAACATCCACCGTCAGTTGCGACCCTAGCAAATTCGACGGTTAGGATCACCACAACGTGGCACAGCCACTTCTGCCACGTGGGAGACCTTTTAGCGCTTCATTGTTATCATAAAACCAATCGATACTTTCAATCACGATGGCGCCTTTGATCAAGTTTTAGCGAAGACTTCGGAAAAAGATCCATGATTTTATCCGTGGTAAAGAAAAATGGAAGCTAGACTTGATATCTTCAAGCACTTCTTACAAGTTTTTTGTGGACGTGATGCTTGAGCAGCGATGCCATTTCGATCTACACGGAAAAGATTGTCAAGAAAGATCTAGCTTAGCGATGAATGAATGAATTACTCACCGCCGTGATGGCAGCTTCGCCTCCTTTGTTCCCAACTTTGCCACCGGCGCGATCAAACGCCTGGAGAGATAGTGAGATTGTTCCTGGTGAATCGAGATAAAGAATTCTAGACAAACCTGATCCATGGAGTCGCAAGTTAGAATACCAAAAACGCATGGAACTCCTGAGGAAAAAAAACAAAAAAAAACAACAACAAAAAACTATGAGAGAAAAACCAAGGATTGAGCAACCAAGTACCGGAATTCAGCGATGCCGACATAACTCCCGACGCAGCAGAATTCGCCACAGCGTCGTAGTGGCTTGTAGCACCTCTCACCTTCGAAAAAACGAAGAAGAAAAATCAAGAGGAGACGACGAGGAGAAATCGCACTTACAATAGCACCAATGCAGACTACTGCATCGAATTTCCCCGATTTTCCTAGAGTCTGTGCGACGATAGGAACTTCAAAACTTCCAGGAACCCAGAACACCTGAAGAACAAAGAAAAGAAAAACTAAAAAAAAAAAACGACCACGAGCCCTTTACCTCGATGTGTTCTTCCTTGACGGAGTACCTATGGAAAGCTTCTAGCGCTCCAGCGACCAAAGGCTTTGTGATTATATCATTGAATCGAGCAGCAACCTGGAATGACACACGATCAATCACGAAAGGAACAAACCAAAGAGAAAAATTTCTACTCACCACAGCGAATCGAAGGCCATCAGCGGCGAGAATGGAGCCCTCGATCTCCTTCACCTTGGCAACGGCATGTATCCGGGCGCTGCTCCATCTAGATCTCACACTGCTGCTCTCTACAAGCCAGAATCAGCCAGGATTTCCACAGCGCAGTACCTAGACGCGGAAATTTGCATCCAATCCGGCTGAGCGATGCAAGAGATGGCGGCGAGTTATCGATCGTTGGCGTCGGGCATGGGCATCCAACAATAGGAGGAGCTCGCAAGGCATCCATCTTTTTAGGGTTTAGGGTTTTTTAGCCCGCAAAAATAGGTAAGGGAGGAAATGCGGGTAGATCCTTGCTGATGGAAGGTTCTGGAGATCTTCCTCTAGAAATCAAGCTAGAATCTAAATAGAAGAAGGAATTTTCTCTCTAGCTGGTGTGAGCTTAGCGTTTGAATTATACAAATTTCTTTCCTTTGTTATAGGTGAGTTCCTTTAAATTTCTTTCGAGATCCTTAGAACTTTTCCTCTAGATCGAAGAAGGAATTCTCGGCTGATGCTAACTTCTACTTTCCTTTGAACATTTTGTAGATTAAGAGCGTTGAGCGTGCTACCTATAGTGGCGAGTCTCTATAAATTTCTTTCTAGCGAACTTAGAATCACAGTTCTCTGTTTGCGTGACTCCTTTTTATTTCGTTTTGTGTTCCAGACATCACCGTATCAAAACTTCCAAAGTATGACGAGCTTATGGTAAGAATCTACTGTTTTCTTGAGGATTGGAAAATCTTTATGAGACTTGGGATGCTTTTTTCCAGACGAGTCGCGATGCCTTTTATGCAGTACTTTTTTCTTCTCTTGAAAGTTTGACGAACTTGTTTTCTTCTGCAGTGGATCTTATAACCAAAAGATATGGTCTGATCAAGAATTCCAGTCGATCACGATGGCTCTCCTTTGGACTTGTGCACACATGACGCTGTAGTGGTTCCATCTCCAGCACATCTTTTCATATCTCTCTTGGAGTAAGGACACCTTTGTTCGTTTCCGTGAGGTTCTCTTGATTCTGACTTGTTTTTCTTTCTAGTTGAAATCCAGCCATGGAAATTCTATCTCCAAGAGCAACAAAAACGTTTCTTGTGTTTCCGAGGCTGGATAAGCTTAAGTCATGCCACGAATGTCAGCTTTCGTGCGTTTCGTCGTCACGGCTTTCTCGGACCGCATCACGTTTTCGTGTAAGTAGCAAAACATTCCATCCTTTATTTCTAGAATTTGGACAAATGTTTTGGCAGTCCAGGAAATCTATCCAAGTCAAAAGTACAAATGCTTTGTCCGGATGACAAAAAATTCCGTCCTTTCCCCAGGTAAACTCCTCATAGCTTCGCTTTTACCTCATCACCAAGTAAGAAAAATTCCCTTTTGATTTTTCCTGGAGATGCTCCACACACTCACAGCTGCTGATTTGATAGAGGGCGCTCTTTAACTCGGGCCTTGGGCAGAGCTCCTTGACGAGAAAGGAAGTCTTGTTATCTGGAACACGCTACACGTATGTATATGTGTCTTGATTACTGTCGCAGTAGCTCATAGCTCTGCCTGCACGCTTTCTATCTCTCCATCTATCTAACTTTCTTCTTTGGCCAGGCAAGTCAAACCGGGAAGCTCTCATCTTTTTCCTCCAAGTCTCCTCCATTATCATGGACGGACCAGACCAGCTCGACACACACAACAACACGACTGAGATTCGACACCCAGCCTTGTCATCTGCGTGCGTTCCTGATTCCAAAAAAGTTGGAGTCATTCGGACAAACAACATAATAGCTGGGAAACACGCCTCGCTGTGTGCTGCTGCTCAGTAGTGGTGGTGCTGGTACGCCTCAACACTCACGACTCTCCGTAAGAATCTCCGATTTTTGCTTTCGAAATCTTTCGACATGTGGTTGAAAATGGCAGGGAAGACGAAAGGGTATCAAGGATGAAAAGATCAAAAGAGAGATTTTTCTGGCATCAAAGCTGCGGTGCGTGAGAATTTTTCTCGTTTTTCACTCTCTCTCTCTCTCCTCTCTCTCTCTCTCGTTTTCTCGCTCGATTGAGTGACGTATTAACTTGGGCGTATACACAGGTAGCTGGAGGAGAGAGAGAGAGAGAGAGACGCTTTGCTTTCTTCTCGACCGGACCGGATGGCTGGAACTTGGAAAAACTTGGAACTCGCAATGTGGAATTTTGGAGCCGTCGCCGACGACGAGGGTCGCTATCCGGGGCTTGCTGGCTTAGCCGGCGACAGCATCTCAGAGGGGGAGCCTTGAGAGGACATTCTTGCGCTCCACAGGTATGTGCTCATAACTGCGACACACTCCCAGCTTAAATTCGCATTCGTAGTCTCGCCCAGTTTGACGAGCTCCGCTTTGACTTCTCCACAGGGATCGATCTTCTCTTTCTCCACTCGAGGATTAAACAAGGAGTAAAAACCAATCAGGGAGGTGAAAAGACTGTGCCTGGAGCACTGGAGCTGTGGAGATGGAGCTGAGAGTTTTTTTGCCACCACCACCACCACCACCGCGCTGCGCTGCTCGACTCGAGAGGTGAGTGTGACCGCAACTATCATCGGTCCAAATGGTGATTATAATGGTAGAAATTTTCGCAGCGCGAGGGACATCGCAGTACACATGAACCGAGAGAGACTAGCGACGGGTATTTTGATTTTCATGCCGCTCTAGCCATTGCTGTTAAAAGGTTTTAACACCGCGCATTCAATGTGGAGTCCAGGACTAGATGGAGCGAAAAGAAAATCGATCAAAGCATTTGCGCAAAAGATTTGATGGATTTCCAAAGAAGAAGAAAAGCCATTTGGATTTCCAAAGGGAAAGAGAACCATTTGGATTTAAGAAACGAGAATTGCCAAAGATTGCAGAAAACCATTTCTATCTGGATTGCCAAAGAAGAGGAAAAGAGAACATTGGAACTCCCCTGCTTTTAGGGCAAAATTGGTCCCCTGTTTTTAGGGCAATCAGGGAGTCTGGGCATTTATTTAAGCTTGTGCTCCTTTTCTCGCAGATTGGCGGCGGCGGCGGCAGCCAGGGCGATTGTACAGCAGGCGCAGTGCAGTGCTGCCAGTACCGCGGTAGTAGCAGCGCAGGGATGGATTGGATAGCTGCGCAGTAGCAGAGCAGCGCGGTACCAGAGATTTTAGGGATTTCCTTGCCCCCAATTGCATTTCTCGCGCTTTCTTTCTTTCTTTCTCTCTCTCCTCTTTCTTTCGCTGCTCGCTCGTGAATCGAGACTGGCTAGCTATAGGGCTGCCTCTTCTTCCTCCTCAAATCTCTCCTCTATCCTTTCGCGCCCTCTGCTTTGCACGGCACGGTAAAGCACACACAAGACGCGCAGGGCAAGTGGCTGGGCTGTGCTCGCTCCCCGCGCTGCACAGATTTTGTTTGGAGCCAGGAGGCACAGCGGCAGCTCCAATTCCGGCCGCGTTCTTGCTTGCCCAGATTGTCTGGGGCACGGGAGCAAAGCCAATCCAATCTGGCCGCCGCGATTCCGGAAGAAATCGCGCTCGCTGCTGCTAGCACGAAGACGAAGAACACAGAGACTCATCCAAAAAATGATTTGATAGGGGGACCAGGGCTAAGAGTTTGATAGATTGGTAGATTGACGGCAGCAGCAGTAGGAGCTACAGTGGAAGAGCGAAAGAGATTTTTTCCTCTCGCTCCAGTTTTTTTCTTCTGGTCTTGGTGTTCTTCCTGGCTCCTCTATGCATCCTCGAGTGTTTGGTTCTCTCGTCTTGATCAATCAAGCCCAGCAGTGGATCTTGCCAGTGTTTTAAATTTCTCTCTTCTTTTCTTTTTCCGAAGCTCTGGAGTCCGGGTACTACGATCTGTCGACCGCTATACTTTTCTTTTGGGCATACTCTTTTCTCCCTCCCCTGTTTTCTCGCAGCGATCGCGCAGATCTGGGAAGTGAAGCGAGCAATCTACGCCAAGAATGTAGGTAGCTAGCTATCGGATCGATCGATTCATTCTTTTCTCGAGATTCTCGCGCGGACTGATGGATCGCCCGGGAGGAGAGCTTCCAGATGGATCAGGGCGCTGGGTATAGCGATGGATTTGCCGCGCCCAGAAGAAGATCGGGGGAGGAAATAGGGTTTAGGGTTTTTGCTCACGAGCACGAAGAACAAGAAAGAATGTCCTCCGACGAGGAGCCCGATCGAGACCAGGCACTGATCCCCGGGCTACCGCGCGGCGTGGCGCAGAGCTGCCTCGCGCGCGTACCGCGCGGACTCTACCCCCGCCTCCGCCTCGTGTCGCGCCAGTGGAATCAAGCCCTCCGCCCCGACCAAATCTTCTCCATCCGATCCAACGACGGCATCTCGGAGCCCTGGCTCTACATCACACTCGCCATGGGCGGCCCCTTCTTCGCGCTGGATCCAATTCTCATGGCCTGGCATCGCCTCCCGGCCTTTCCCGCGGACCAGATCTTCACGGACAACGATAAGGAGTGCTTCGTGGCCGGGCGGGAGCTCCTGGTGGTCGGGCCCTCGTTCTACAACTTCCGGATGCACCCGGTCATCTGGCGGTACCGCGCGGACCGCAACGAGTGGTCTGCGGCGCCGCCCATGACGACGCCGCGGTGCCAGTTCGCGTCCGCCAGCTTCGGCGGCATGGCGTACGTGGCCGGCGGCGCGGGGTTTGGGACCAGCACGCCGCTGCGCGACGCGGAGGTGTACTGCAGCGGCGCCGGGCGCTGGCGCGCGCTACCGCCCATGCATACCGCGCGGAAGGAGTGCTCGGGGTTCGTGATGGACGGCTGCTTTTACGTGATTGGGGGGACGGACGGCCGAGATCAGCCGGTCACGGCAGGTGAGCGGTTCGATCCCAGGACTCGGCGGTGGACGGTCATACCGGGGCTTTGGCCGGAGAGTAGCGTGTCGCGGTTTAGAGGCTCGGTGGCGCCGCCGCTAGTGGCGGTGGTGGGCGACGTGCTGTACGCGTGGGATCATCCCAACGGTCTGTTGAAGAGGTATGAGAAGTTTGGCGGGAGGTGGACGGTGCTGGATGCGGCGGCGGGGCGGCGGGCAAATGCCGAGTCCCATGGATGGGGGCTAGGGTTTAAGGGCGTCGGGGAGGAGGTGTGGCTCATCGGCGGCTCCGAGCTGGATGTGCCGTTCATCGATGCGTGCCGCCCGGCGCGATCCGGCGGCGTGCTGTGGCGGCGCGTCGCGGAGGCGAGCCCCGTCGGCGACAACTTCGTCTACAATTGCGCGGTCATGAAGGCGTGATTCCAGCACAGATCGGTGATGCAGGTGTGGAATTTCGCTTCTTCTTTGCTAGATCGAGCGAAGTATCTGATCAGGGGAGAGAGAGAGAGAGAGAGAGAGGGGTCTTGGAGGCTGGAGTAGAGGATTTCTTCGTCTTTCTTTTTTGGTAGAAAGGAAAGAAGGTCCGCCGCCTAGCGTAGATCAGGGGAGGGGAATTTGGCTCCTCCGGATTGATGGCATTGGTTGTTTAGTCTTCGGAAAAGATCCTCAGGGAAATTCGCTCGCGCTCTTCACGAGCTATAGATGTGGTGTTTGTCTGTGGAAAGAGAGTCATCGCGGTTTTTTCCTTTTAAGTTTCGCCTTTTGTGCATTGCTCTGGTTTGTCGTGTTCTTGCGCCTGATGATCCCGATCCTTTCTTTTTCTCTTTCACGCAACTTTCTTTCTTGGATCAGATCCCGTGTCATCGAATTCGTGGCAACCATTAGACAAATTGGAGTAAACAATGGAGGCCCCGGAAACCACCATCAATCATCGTCATCATCATTTCGGTTACTTAAGAGAGACAAGGCAAGAGGTGGGCGATCTAATTCCCCTCGCTGTTCTTTAGAGTGTTTTTTTCTTTTCTTCTTTCTTTGTCTCATGGATTGTCTTTGCTTGCTGTGGATCATCCGAATTTGGCTGTGAGGCTGTGGATTCTTTCTGCGTCCTTGTGGGTCCGTGGCTTGAATTTTATTCATTGAAGTCACGATCGATTGCTTCCCTGCTTGCGTTTATGATGCTCCTAGTGCGCTGTTTTTGCTTAATTTTTTTGGGTTTTCTTTGCTTGATTCGTCTCTCCCGGACCACCATTGTCAGACAAGTTTTGGATGGATGGATGGCTTGCTGGAAGGCAAGAGAAAGTCTCTCTCAGTGTATCCATGGCTTTAAATCCATCCATCCTTCTCGGATCCAAGCCGAGAATCTCTTGTGGATTGTGGAATCACTTCTCGAAACAGTGGCTGGTCACTTGTCAAAAAGCTTCCATGGTACTTCGCGTGGGTTTGGTCGGATATTTGCATTGGTTGATGTGCTGCCGGTCAAATTCCATTCTTTAAGTTGTTTTCGTGTGGCTGGAGATTCACACTGGATCTCGCGTTAATTGTGCCTTCCCGGTCTTGCTGTGACTCAGATCACATCATGGAAAACTTTCCAAGCTCAATCAGTCAGTCCTCCCTTTTTTGCTTGAAACTCCCATTCTTCTTTGGTTGCTTGCTCGCTTCAATCATTCCATCTTCTTTGCTAACAAAGTCATCGAAATGGTGGAGTCTGCCGTTGCTATGATAACTTCATAGTCACATTTAGACCGCTTTCTACTAGAAAAAACAAGACAAGAAAAATAAAATAAGAAAGATAAGTACAAAAAAAAATCACAACTGACGATGCTCTGCTTAACCTTCCTCGTCGTCATCTTCATCTTCGTCGTCATTTTCTTCTTCTTCGTTGCCTTCATCATCCTGTTCTTGATCGAGGCCGAGTTTCCGCAGAGCATCCTCAACTGCCATCCTCATGCAAGCAGGGAACAGGCGCGGATCCAAACAGCATCGTAAGATCTGCAAGCGCCCCTTGAAGACTTTGTGATGCCGAGCTTTGCAGAATAGAACGCCAGAGCAAGGGATAGGATGTCGTCTCCTTCTTTGTAAGGCTGCATCGAGGATGGCGAGTGATAGCCGCGAGTGTCAACCTTTCTCCTCAATTCCTGACGATCAGTTTTGAAACAGGAGACGTCGTAGTCATTGATCTTCAATACATTCCCTTTAAACACCAGCATGTTGTCTGGCTTCACGTCTCGATGCAAGATGCCTTTGCCGTGAAGATGCCTCAGACCTTCGAATGCCTGGTTCCACATCATCCCAGTTGAAGCTAAATCACTTACATGCTTCGCACTGAAAGGCTCCCCAAATCCGTCCAACTCCAAAAACTGGAAAACACCCTCCCTGTTCCCGACGTCCACAGTCCCCCACTTCAGTAGTTGCCGCAGATTAGGATGATCATCCGATGCTGAATGTATCGCTCTCTCGGTGCCAGCATCTGCAGGCAAACATATCTTCAACACCGTTGAGCGCGATCTCCTGAGCATGACAAGCGACTTGTGGCCATAAGCGACGATGTTCAGGTCTGAGATGCTGATATCATCGTTGAGTGCTCCATGCAAACGAACAACTGAAACCCGTAGACCATGTATCTCACGCAGCTGGTCCATGTATGCAACCAACGTCGAGAATCCCGCTGACGGCATGCCCGGAAGGATATCACAGAGCCTAACACTCCCCAGCCTGCTCGCGCTGTCGTCCAAATCCCTCAGCTTCATCAGTATGAAGGCGGGATTCATCAGGGGCAACTGCTGCGGAGTTTCATTGGGCTTCTGCGGTCGTGGGAACTCAGGACTCACCTCCACACTTCCGTCTTGTCGCAAATATTTCACCACCCAGAACCTGTCCATGCGGCAGAAAAGGCAGCCCATAGCCACAGGCTCATTTCCCTCCGTTGATTCCAAGTCTTCAGCTTCTTGCCCAATCAAGAGTGCATTCGACTCAACTCCTGTCGGGTCACTGCACTTTCCGTGCTTGACTGAGGTCTTCACTTCGGTTGGAGCCTTCATCTCGGTGCTCACGAAACCCTGAAGATCCGACTTTTACCTTTCCCTGTCTCCCTCCTCCAAAGTGCAAACCCTCCTGCCCAAAAGATGCCGCTTCCAGGAAGCACAGAATAGCAGGGTAGTAAGCCGCTTCCGCCACCTTAATCTTCCGAAGTCTAGCTGTCCGTTGTATGAGTGAGCTGCACTTTATCTCCTTCGACTAGCAAGTACAGCCACCGAAGGGCAACTAGAATCGGGTCGGCCTGGCCTAGCATTGTCTCCGGCTGCACACAAACCGGTTTATACCTGCTGATTGCGCTCTGTCTCTTACTGGTAGGATCCTTAGCACTAGTGACATATGTATTGCTCGGAACCCGTTCTTTACCTGAAAAAACGATCTTTGGCACCAGTGACAAATGTATTGCTCGGAAGCCGTTTCTTACCTTCAAGTTGTTTCAGGAAGGAGCGAAGTGTGGCCGCTTTGTCCTGTGGAGTCGGAGGAATGAAGTACCTAGCTACCAGATGCACAGGCATTTCCACAAACTCCGAATGGATTCGTGCCTTCTCCCACAGCGCGTTCAAAAATGACTCGTCCCCCTCCATCTCCGCCATGCCCTAAGACTTTGCAAAACCTTTATATTGACATACGCGCACCAGCGCACCAGCTCCCTGGATTTCCCAACGAGCAGCGAACTGTTGCGAGGCTGTGATAGCTGGACGTTCCATACCAATTAGACTACCAGTAGCGATCGCTACCGGTAGTCCAATTGGTATGGAACGTTCCAGCTTGGAGGCCTACTTAGAAAAGCAAGAAGAGAAACGCCAAGGAGGCGGCCAACAATGACATTGCCGCCGACAATCCAGGAGGAGACGAGGCCGTCACAATCCCAATCTTAAACTTGCAATCCCCTTGCGACGGATCCACGTCCGTGACTTTGCCGAGGCCATCGAAGTAGCAGCTGTTCCCGACCTGGCTCTTGAGCTGGTAGTAGCTGTTGAAGGCATGCGACGCATTTCCGTCGCCACCGCATACGACGCGTCGAAGACGTCGAAGGTGTAGGAAAGAGCGCCGTCGACTGTCGGTGGCACGGCGAAGAAGGCGAACTCTCGGGGGAAGTTTGCATCCTGCTGCAGGCTGAGGAAGGGGTAGAGGTTGATGGTGAAGGGGCACTGGTTCTGATCGAGGAATGCCACCAGCTGGGACTGGATGTCGGGCCGGAAAGTGCCCACCGACGTTCACTCCGCCATTACTCAGCACGTCGGTTGAGCGGAACCTGATCTCGTCCGCCACCTTGTGCTTCACGAGCGCCTGGGGGATGTCACCCCCGCCGGAAAAGTGGAGCTTATGAAGATCCCGTTGTAAGCCGTGAGGAAAGGCTGTGCCCGGTCAATGAGAGAGCGCGTGAGGCGGCCGGTTGGTTTGCGATGGTCCATCGCCCACCCACGAAAGCCACACCAGTGACCACGACCTTGTCATGTCCCGCTACAGAGAGAAAAGAGAGCTTTCCTCGCTACGCACTTTGGGAAAGCTTTTTAATGAGCCTTGGATTCAGGGTGGACGAACAAAGCGCAGCGGGGGCCCATCCACCATGGGGGCCAGCGATTCTCAATCGATCCCAGCGCGCAAAGGTACAAGAGAGAAATTGTTTGATTGCTCACCAGCCACCCAAGCGATATTCCTCGTGTAGTTTCAACAGCAGACGCGCATACCATATATACCAACAAAGGCGAATCTCTCTTTCCAAGCTTGTCTCATTAAGCGTGACTCAGTTAAACTAAACTAAACTTAAGAATTCCCACCAAAACTTATTCTATAGGAATATCCTATAGAATAATTAAGCTTGACAGTACCACAATTAGACTAAACTAGCCCTAAGCCCATCCAAAGAATATTCTGTAGAATATCCGAGATAGATATCTGAAGAATATACCCTTTTTCAATTTTGGTCTTCGAGCTTCTGCGCGTCCGCGACGGGAGGGATGGCGTCCACCTTGTACCGCACGGTCTGCAAGTGTGTATCACGCTCGTCAATAGAAACGCTAGCGTGATCTAGGCGGCCTTACCTTTCTGTAGAATGTGGAGTAGGAGTTGTCCCAGACTAGTTTGTAAGATCCGACGCCCGGCGAGTAGAAGTTCCCCTGGAACGAGAAGCAAGCTTAAAACTTGTCGAATGAACGAGTTATTTATCACGGACCTGGTGCGAGTCATATCGTTGATATGGTAGCATTTGCTGCAGCGGGGAGAAAGCTATCACGAAAGTATTGTGAAATCATCAAACGTACCATCTTTGCGCCGTTCGAGCTAATGTATTCGACGCTAAAGCCAACGTCCTGTAGAGATTTCAAGCCTTGTAAGCCGTCTGCGAGAACAGGAGTGACGAGCAAACCTTCCCGGATGTCAGTTTAAACTCCCACGCAACGTATGATCCCTCGCTGTCGACGGGCAAGAGAACCTGGAAGAACAGAGCTGTGAGATGCCTGAAGACCACGAAAAATTGATTCACCTCGTGAGTTTTCCCTGTGGAGATCACGGTTTCCTTAAAATCATTGACCATGGTCCTGCATAAAAGTAATTTTATCCAGGATCATCCAAACAAAGCCAGCTAGCTTACTTTCCCCCATTTGTTCCTGCTTCTTCCGCCGATATAAGAAACGGGGAATGCTCGAAAACTTCCCTGATAAATGACGAGAGCTTTTGGACAGAATCAAAGACTTCATACCTCAAAAATGTCAGAAAACGCTTGAGTTCCGACGAATAAAGCTTCACGGACTCCTCTAGCAAGTCCAAGCGGCTGTCTTGAGCCCTGCATTCAAGCTCAGAAAACCAAAGTCAGTAACAGGAAAAACTGCTTGCTTGCTTGCTTGCTTGCTTACGTCGTGTCACGATTAAATGTCTTCCACCACAAAGTCAGAAAGATTCGTATGTGCAAACCGAGTTGAGTAAGCTGATAAAGTGGTGGCCCGTACCGCTCCCGTTGCTCCTCCATGGGGCTTCACACACGAAAACAAGCACAGATTCACGATTTAGAGACGACTCGATGCTGTCTTACCCGTTGTGATCATTTATTTGTTGCACGAAGTCCAGAAGGACCTGCAAGAAAAAAGGACTAGCTCATACTTACACAAGGGCCGGACCAATGTACAAAACAGACCTGAGGCACACCGACGAGAAATCTTATCAGCGTCTTGTACACACCTGAAGCAGATCCCAGCATCACCAATTGCTTGCGTCTACATAGTGTCCAGACAGTCCGGTTAAAGCAGTAGAAAATGCCCCACCCTCTACCTTTCCATTTGTTGTTTCCACAGTAGATTATATTTTTCCTGAATGCTACCACCACCATTTAAGAGCGTTTCTACCTCGGCTTGCCGCTTCTTCTCGGAGCGGTCGCGTTGCTGCTTGATTAGAGACGCTCGAAAATCTTGAGGCATGTACGTAAGAACTGTCCACAAAGATGGAAAAAGAGATGAAGTACTTCACAGAAAAACGCTAAGCGTACTCATGCTGAAGATCTTTTCAGAGCTGAAAGACTGGTAGTCTTCAATGAACTTGAGCAGGCCCTGTAGCTCCAGAGCTAGCTTGTAAAGCTTGTCAGGCATTTGTGGTCCATTTAGCTGGAAGAAAAGGAAAGAAGAAGCAAAGAAGTCATACAATTCCACAGAGAAGAAAGGAAAAACTTACAGTAGAAGGCCAGTGCCTCTTCTCCA